CACCTAGTGCTGCAGGCGCTATACCAGGGACTATACCAGGATCCGGCGGCACATACAAGTAGCAGTCACCCTCAGCACTAACAGACAATGCATACATAGCAGCAAGAATAGCCTCATAGTCAAGATCAAAGATAGGTACATCACGCCTAAGTAGCTCTGCTCAGTTGGGGAACTCAGGAGCATCACGAAACTTGGCGCGCCAGGCGTCGCCAAGCCGAGCGAAGCAGCGCTGCTCAGTGTGATAACATGTGCACTGGCGACCAATGCGGGGACCTGTGCGAATGATATAGGGGCAGCGACCAGGACCCCCAAAAGCCCCACGCCCGGCATACCAGTCAAGAAGCTGGTGGGAAGTGGGGGCCTGGTGCTGACGCTGCTGCTGCAGCTGCTGCTGGCCCTGACCACCACTACCACCACCGCTCCCTCCTCCCCCACCGCAGCTGCTAACCCCTCCACCGCTCCCAGTGCCTCCGCCGCCCCCACCACCACCTCCACCGCCTCCACCCCCACGACCACCCCCACCACCTCCACCTCCCCCGCCGCCTGCACCACTGCCACTTCCACCGCCACCCTCACCGCCCCTACCACCCCTGCCGCCCCTGCCGCTGCGACGCTTCCCACTAGGAGCGGAAGCAGCTCCGACCTCCTCAGCACCAAGGTAGTCGTGAGCAGCAGCTGCGGAGGCGTAGGAGGGGGTGAGAGGGGAGGGGGAGCACCCCTCAAAGAGGAGAGAGCGAGGAGTGCCACGAGCAGCACCTACAGCGAGGATGTTCTTCTCTGCTGCGAGGAGGTGCTTCTTGAAGTCTTCAACAGTGAGAGTGGGGGGGTCTAGCGCGAGGAAGTGGTCCCTGACTGAGCTAAGAGTGTCAGGGAGGTGGGTGACGAGGAAATAGAGAGTGAAGTACATCGGGGGGGGGGGGGGGGGGGGGGTTAGCAACTCGGCTGAAAGGGCGGCACGAAAGCGAGTGTCAGTAGCGCGCAGGTGGGAAATGAGGTCCTCAGCAGTGGTGAACGAGGAAAGGTCGGGGAACAGGTAGGGTAGCATGAGCTGACCTATGGCTGCAGTGGCCCGGGAGGAGTAGCGCGCAACTACAGCGTCGTACAGCTTCTTAGCAGTTTTGTGCTGGCTGAAATGCGCGCGCTCAGTAATCGGCAGATGGTTCCTAATAGCTAGGCGTGCAGCAGCATTACGAGTTTTCCATTGCGAGCGTTCGAGAGCAGGAGCATCGGCAGCAAGAGCAACGGCAGTGCCATACACGTAATCGAACAGTGAAACGCCCTATTTGGCATCGGTCACAAGGAACAGTTGGAGATCATCTAACCACACAGCGAACTCTATGGGGCGGCCGTCAGGCTCAAACGCGAGAACGTTAGGCGTCGTCATAATGGCAGTAGGCAGAGGTAGGAGGCAGCAGGCAGCTGACAAGAGGCAGCAGGCACCAGGCCACAAGCAAGGACAGAGGCAGCAGGCAGCAAGCAGGAGACAGCAGGCAGCAGGCAGGAGCGGCCGCACGCGAGCTCCTACGGTTGCGCGTTAAGCAGTTGCGGGCCGCGCAGGCGGCCGACGCGACGCGCGGCGCAGCGGCGGGCCGCGCTGGCGACAGACGCGGCGCGCGGGGCGACGGCGGGCCGCACACGATGGCGGGCTGCGCGCGGCGTCGGGCTGCGCGGGCTCTACGCGGGCTTTGCACGGGCGACGCGGGCCGGCGGCGCGAAAAAAAAAGTGACGCGCGCTGCAGCCGAGGCGCACGCGGGCAGCAGGCAAGGCGGGCAGCTAGGTGGGCCCGATTCGTAGGTCCTAGAGACCTCCTGCTCTAGTTACCATGTTACCGTAAGCCCCCGGATAGAGGCGCAGGCCTCGGATAAGCGCTGGCGCTTATAAAAGAATGAGGGCGCTTATATCCGGTCCTCGATTATAAGCGCCACCCTCTTCTTTTTTATTATAATTTTACTGAAATCGTTGTAACGAAACTCAATATTTTCATTCCCACATTTTGAATTTAGATGCCCCCTCACCCTCGCCCGGCTCACTGGCAACGTGTCCAGTCAGAATGAGCTGTCAAGGGCGCACGTTGACTCATTCTGACTGTGTGTGTTGGCAGTGAATCAATCCCTGCCAGCTTGCACGCGAGATTCTCAATCACAGCCTTGTACAGTGGTATTGTTTCACATTCTGACTGTGTGTGTTGGCAGGGAATCAATCCCTGCCAGCTTGCACGCGAGATTCTCAATCGAACCCTGTATAGTTTCGACTCGATTCAATTCGCAAGAATGGGATCTACATATTGGTGGAAAAACGACGAATTTCATATATGCTATTATATAAGCACCGGCGCTTATAAAAATCCTCAATTATCAGCGCACCCCCTAAAAAAACTTTTTTTTATATAACCCCAGGGGCGCTTCTATCCGGGGGCTGACGGTAAGAACTAAGGCAAGAATGAGTAGATTAGGTGAAGGTTTGGGTTGGGTACAAGACTAAGGTATCGAGAAAGTTTGTGTACCCCCTAGGGCTATCCCCAATATAGCTTAGATAATGATATGCATATATTTTGACACATTATTCTGGTAACATATACATTACGTATTTGGTTTGGTTGCAAGAGCTCCTCCTCCACTCCATTTGCCTCAGAACATACGGTAGTACGGCATCGTAAAAGTACCGGTAATGTGGTCTCAAAACCAAGGTCAAGAAATCCCACCAGCCAGAGACAAGGCACACTCTCATCCACCTACCAGCTCTAGCTGTTGCTCCTCAGTTGAGATTCCGTGTGCAAAACACAAGCCATGTGCGCAAACTGCAAACTGGGATTGCACGAACAAAACATGTTCAGTCACATGCACAAGCAACCAAAGGCAACATGCGCAAAACCGACTCTAAAAGAAATCCGCCACTACGGTAGTACAAACCAACCAACCCATTCCTTACACCACACAATGGGAGCAATCAGTTTTATCAACTCAACTCCACCAAACTCCTGTGCTCCTGCTCCTCACGCTGCAACAACCACTGCTGCAGCTGCTGGTGCAGCTGCTGCTGTGGCTGCAACTGCTGACATTTTTGCTGTCGACGCTGCAGCATCAGTTCCTACCACACCCAGACCTGACCACACCCAGACCTGACCACACCCAGACCTGACCACGGCACACAACTCCTCCCTCAGAGCGACTGACCATGCACTCCCCCCACTGCTCTGCTTCCAACTAGCGGTCGGGTTCCTGCTTCCATACCCTACAGCTGAATCCCCGTGCTGCTGCTGCTCTCTCACACACACTGCCAAAGCTGCTGCAGCCACCACTGCTGCAGCTGCTTCTGCTGCTGTGGCTGATACTGCTAACGTTGCTGCTGCTTTCACACCCAGATCCCTCAGGGCGACAGACCATGCACCCCCACGACTGCTCTGCTTCCAGCCAATGGCCTGATCCCTGCTTCCAGCCAATGGCCTGATCCCTGCTTCCAGCCAATGGCCTGATCCCTGCTTCCATGCCCTCCAGCTGACCCCCGTGCTGCTGCTATGGGTGATACTGTGGCTGATACTGTGGCTGGTACTGTTGAATTTCTGCCTCTGCTGACGCTGCTGCAAAACGCCTCTCAGGGCGACTGGCCATGCACCCCCCCCCCACTGCCCTGCTCCCAGCCAGCAGTCTGATCCCTGCTTCCATACCCTCCAGCTGAACCCCCTTGCTGCTGCTGCTGCTGCTGCTGCTGCTGCTGCTGCTGACATTTCACCTGCTCTCCTCAGGGGGACTGACCATGCACCCCCCCCACTGCCCTGCTCCCAGCCAGTGGTCTTATCCCTGCTTCCATACCCTCTAGCTGCACCCCCGTGCTGCTGCTGCTCACCCTCACCCTCCCACTGCTGCTGCTGCCGCCACTGCTGGTGGTGGTGCTACAGTGGCTGCTACAGCTGCTGCTCACACCCACACTGCTGCTCACACAACTCTCCACTCAGGGCGCCCCCGCCACTGCTCTGCTCCCAGCCAGTGGTCTTATCCCTGCTTCCATGCCCTCTAGCTGCACTCCCGTGCTGCTGCTGCTCACACCCACACTGCCATTGTTGCTGTCACACTCCCCTCAGGGCGCCCCCGAGACTGCTCTGCTCCCAGCCAATGGTCTTATCCCTGCTTCCATACCCTCCAACTGAACCCCCGTGCTGCTGCTGCTCACACCCACACTGCCACTGCTACTGCCGCCACCACTTCTGTTGCTCACACCCACACTGCCACAGCCGCCACTGCTCCCACTACCGCTGCTCACAACCCCCCCACCGTGCATCCCAATCCCGCTATAATGCGGCCGTAACGGGGAGTACGACACTCTGCCAACTCCGCTGTTGCTTACACCAAGGCTGCTTATAAAGGAGACGAAAGCGGCTACTGTGCTGTTGCTCATGGCCTGAGCCCATAGCCTCTGCGCCCAGAGGGTCTTAGAGAGCGGAGGAACGAGGGCCAATATGGCTACTAGGAATAAAGCCGCAATAGTAGGCGCGTCGTAGAGGTCCGAGAGCGAGTTAATGGTCGAGAGCACGCACCCGGCTTTAACTTGAATCACACTAGAGGGGATGAACCCGAAGAACGTTCCAATGAGGTAGATCCGGATGGGTATGCCGACGAGTGGGGAGCAGAGATTAACTACCCAGGTAGGCATGATGGGGGTGATGCGGAGCGAGATGACATAGTAGATTAAAGAGGTATAGTGCCGCTGGACCTCCGTACGCATCCAGTCGCACTTATCCGGGAAATAATAGTAGACTATATCTCTCAGGAGGAAGTGGGAGATGGTGTACGACGCGCAGGCACCCGCGGAAATCAGGATACTGATCGTGAATAACCCCGGAAAAAACCCGAACAGCGACCCGGCAAGCAGGTTCATACAAATAGTCCCCGGGATGCAAAACGACTGCAGGAAGAGGTAGAGATTGACGAAAATGACGACGACTCGGAGCGGGAACTCTCGCTTGTAGAGCGCGAGGGTGGCTCGCACAGCTCGGAGCTCTGCCATGTTTCGAGGGATGCGGAGGAGCAGGACAACCTCTAACTCGTCCTCTGAATCGTATGACAAGTCCATGTCATCGTCTTCTATGTTCCCCTCCCCTCCGTCCCCGTCCCCCTCCCCTTCCTCCTCCTCGGCTTCTCCTCCCTCTCCTCCCTCTCCTCCCTCTCCTCCTGCTCCTCCTGCTCCTCCTGCTTCTCCGGCTGCCCCGATCCCCCCACCTTCCCCGGTTTCGCCTCTCTCCACCCCGTCGTCCTCGTTTTCCTCGTCTGCTAGTGAGGCAGCGGCACCGGCAGCAGCAGCGTCGATTGGGAAGTCAAAATCCGAGTTGTCTAACGACCCTGATACCACCACAGGACCGCGCTGTTGCTGCTGCTGCTGGAATTCCCCTCCTGGGAAAATGCGGCTGGTGCTGCTGTGACTGTAGCTGGCGTTGCTGGTACTCTCCCTGTCACTGATGCTAATTCTGCTGCTGTTGCTGCTTCTGGAACCAGTCATATCCCCCTCCCCTGTCTCGGCTTCTGCTGACGTGGACCCACTTATCCGCTCCCGATTGCGTGCTGACGCCTTGGCCCACTCGGATTCGTCCAGGTCAGCAGTGAGATCCGGGATTCCTGCCACCTCATCATCCTCCACTGCCCCATCCTGTAGCAGCTCCTGCTTCAGCTGCTCTTGATCCACCTTCACATCACCTATCCCATTACCTGAATTTTCACCTGAATTTTCATCTCCAGGCCCATCACCACTGCTGCTCGTGCTGCTGTCCACACCACCGCTCTCGTTACTGTCACTGCCGTCCCCTACATTTCTCCCGTTACTGTCAGCAATGTTAGTGCCATCCTCCCTCTGCCCGTCCAATGCAGCCTCTCTGCTGCCAACCCCAACGCTACTCTTACTGCTGCTGATGCTGCTGCTGCCGCTGCTGCTGCTGGAGACTGAACCTGTGCCACTTCCAATCAGTCCCTGAGTACTGCCTTCCCTTGTAAACCCTCCCCCAATCACGTTCTGCGAACTGTACACACTCTCTCTCTCGTCAATTCCTATGCTGCTTCCACCGACCCTGCTTCCACCTGGGCTCGCACCGCTGGTTCCTATAATGCCTTTATTTCCGATTGCGTTTCCGTGACGGACTGTATCGTGTAGTTTACTGTACCCTTTGCTTCCTTCGTGCATGTAATTCGAATCCTTGGTTCCGAATAGCCCGCTCACGCGAACTCCGTGATTCTCTCTTCGCAGCCTGTTCCGCTGGATGGCTTGTAGCGTGTGGACACGTGGCAGCATGAGAAACGTTGACAGAACGAACGTGAGCCACGCGAAGAAGAGAACAGCCAATAGGAGCAGCCGGCGGCTCCATTGCGAGCCGAGAATTGCGGAGACACCTGCGACCAATCGCTGCTCGTTCACGGGGCTTAGTAGCCCTAAGTTGCTATTATTGCCTAGGATCCCTAAACTGCCGCTTCCGCCGCCGCCGCTGCCGAAGCTGACGTGGTTCGACGGGCTCGTCATTGTTGCGGTGGCTTGCTAGTGATGATGTGACATAAACGAGGTTTGCCCATGAGTGAAGATCGGAATCCGGGAATTCCGGGAATGAGTGGACACGCTAGGGTTGAGACCGATAAGAGTGTGCGAATTACCGCGCGAAAACTACTGTAACAGGAAGCAAGGCAACCGACGGAAGGACAGGTATTAACGGGACGTCTGAGGAACAAGACCAGGGAGACGGCTCCTTCTCAAAAGATTCGCGTCGACGGGAACTTATGCGAGCGAGATGAAAAGGTGGAGACGTGAGAACTGATGGAAGAAACTCGTTTGTGTATGCGCAAGAAAGCCTTCATGTGACGATAGTTCTATGAGGTTGAGATTCTCGATCCTATCTTACGACAGACAGATGTCTAGGCTGCTTGTTCTCGAGTGTCGGGGATTCCCTGAGTCGCGATTATGGAGGGAAAACGCGTTTTCTCAACCCCGATTTCCTCAACACTGACGCGGGCGGGACTATGGGAGAGGTCGCAACCGTAGTGTCGACAATAAGTGCCTCGGTTGCAGTATGAGGAGGATGCAGTGTAGTTGGGGCGTGATGGACTAGCTCTACAGAATGCGATTTGTGCTGTGAAATAATATTTGCAATGGGAACTATTGTGCAGGGGGAAACTTGTAGTGCAAAACATAGATATTCTTTATCGAAGTTTGTTGTTGCCGTATTCGACATCTTTCTATAACGAAAATTACGGACCTTAAGAAACTCGACTTGAAAGCTGGAGCTATCATCGTTCGCGACCAGCTGCAGAACTTGACGAAAGCAGAAAGTGTCTGGTTTCCAGGCTAAGCGAAGAATTGTGGGTCTCGCAACTGGAGATCCTATCCAAAAGCAACATAAGAGCTGATGCACACAGCTCCGACCTTGGACTGAGAGGGGGAAAATTAGGCGTGAGCAAGGCGTGGACAAGGCGTGAGTGAAGTTAACCAGCAGCATCTCTGGTTTCATTTCATGACCTTGCTCTTATCACCAATGATGTTCGTGACATCTGAGGCATTGCTGTGTTCTCCAGCTCCTCGCTGTTGCTATTTAGCCATGATGACTACCAGTAGACAGATTTCGCGACCCAGTTTCCAGTACTTAAGTCTGGTTTTGGTGGTTACGCCATGGATTCCCAGTCTGGCGGGCCTAGAGTCGGCAATAAACGTGGCCGGGATTTTGACAAAACTGGAACAGAGAGGAATGCTAAGAACAGAAAGCGTGATAGACGTCGGAATCGTGGTGGAAAGTGCAGCGAAGGAAATAGAAATGGCGGAAACGGAAATAACGAGAGTCGAACTGGTGAGAGTGATGGGATCAAAGGATGCAGTCACAGAGGAGAGAAAGCGGACGATGGTATTAGAGACGGGGTAGAGAACGGGAAGGATGGAAACAAAATGGAGGAAAAGGGACGGACAAGTCAGAGTCAAGTGGCCCGAGCTTTTGGACGTTCATGCCGAACGACAGACCACTCACGAATCAGTTTCAAATGAGAAGATTCGTCCTCGCAATGGCAGCTCACGATGCTTCAGGTACTATATTAGGAAGTACGAGAGTTGGATGTGGCAAGGAGCACCGGCTTCTAACACATATTCGTCCTTGCAGATTTGGTCATTGATCTCGCGAACGACAAGTATTTCGGCAGGAAGAAGCTGATCAGTATCTGTCAGGAAGCTGTTGCATGCGGTTCTTCAGATTCAGTGGCAGCTGGAAACAATTCCAAGAGAGTTTTCTTTTCTTCCAGAGTGTTTTGTTGCCATTGTTACGAGTCGTTTGCCAGGTACCAGTTCGTGATTCTGCTCGTTTTCATTTTATCTTCGTTAGATCCTGAACATCCCACGTTGGTTTATGTTTCGTTGCATTTTCAGCCCGAGTTTTGCAACAACCCTGCTTCGAGCAAGGTTAACACGACCCTCGCAACCATGGTTGAAGTGGAAGGGTTTCAAGAATACCTCGTCAACTGCATGAGGCTTCTGACTCAAAGGGGAACAATAGGCGACCCCGAGAAAAAAGACGACGGCGTCAATGACTGGGACACGGCATTTCAGATCATCATCAACTTTTTTCACTTGACAATGGACCGTTTCCACTCCTTGTTTGACGCTACACAAGCCAGCACTGACATGCAGCAGCTTGAAGCCATGCTTCAGAAATGGCAGATTGAGAAGCCAGTGTCTGATGAAAAGTACCATAGCCTCTACTCAGCCATTCGCAGGCTGAGGAAGTCTCTTGATAGGCGCAGTCATTGCAAAAGACAGAGGCAGAGCACGGAGATTGGCCAGACGCCAGTTGAAGTCTCCTACGAGCCAGGTTCGTCATGGAACAGGAAATAGGAAATTCGACTTCATTTTGTGTCTTGTGAAATTTTATGACATTGTTGTGCTTCGCTGTTGCAGGTCATCAGCTTTTGACCAAGCAAGCTGTGGATGGTCCGGGTGAACTCAGCTTAGCTGGCCACCCGAGGCATGATAATGACCATGCAGACATATCAGCCGTAAGATGTTACCATGTGACAAACATTTCCATGACAATTTCTGTTTCTAAATTGATACGGACATATTCTCCTAACATATCCTTATTTGCTATGCAGATTTCCGTGGCTCCAACCATGGAAGAAGTTCTTTGCGATGTCCCTCCTTATCTGCCCCGCAATAATGTGGAGGAGCGTCATCACCTCCCTGCTGGCTCTGTAGGACGCCACGTGGACATCCAGTTCCGCCTTCTCAGGCACGACCTCGTTGCTCCTCTCTGGAATAAGGCCTTCTTTCTGTTGGAAAGTCTGAAGCGCGAATGCTCCACTCGTGAAAGCAGAAGCGCCAGCAGAAAAGGGGCCATGACGGGACTTGTGAAGGCAGACCGAAGCTTGTTGAAGGGTTTGGCTGTAAACATGAAAGGAATGGTGGGGTTCTCTTCAGACGACATGGACATGTACATGCTTCAGGATGTCCGGGTCCTGTCAATCAATGCAGATAAGAAGAACGGTGTTTATTTTTTTATCGACTTCTTAGAGCCACCTATTTCACAAGGTCACCGTGCTTGCGGCAGGTACGTGAAAATACCAGAGTGAATCATGTCCTGTGTCTGTAATGCTCGTATATGGTAGTAGATTGACCCACTGTACACTAAAATCCTGTTTGATGTTTCAGGATGGAGTTCTGGGAGCATACGAAGAGGCTCCAGAATGGCTCTCTGGTTTGCCTGTGGATTCAGGACATCCATCAAGATAACATGGAAGCTCCAGATCGCCAGAAGCTTGTCTTTGCAACCATCACAGCCCGAGACACGCGAAGGCTAGCCAATCAGAGGCCTCAGATTGGAGTCCAGCCTTGTCAAAATAATCGGTTCAGTGCAGAGCTGCTGGAGCTCATCTCCCATGATGGCTCTGCTAACAAGCGAGTTTTCATGCTGGAAGCTCATGGGAGTTATTTTGCCTATGAGCCGATTCTAAAGGCATTGCAGAACATCAGTGAAGCATCCTTTCCGTTCTCGGAATACATCTGTGATGCACCTGACGGCGCTTCTGCCAGCCCTAAGACCAAGCTTCCAGCATATGTCGATGACAGCATGCAGTAAGTGATTGGAAGGAAGCATGCAGTAAGTGATTGGAAGGAAACACAGTAATATAATGAGTTGGGGGAAAAAAGAAAAATGGTGCGTCTAGAAGGTCAGAAATTAAGAGATGGCATTGCAGCTAATATTCCTCTTGTCCCTTGCAGCTATGACCTGAGTTTGCTGGTTCAGACCAAGGCCTCGCCTTCCCAGCAAGAAGTTTCTCCAGACGACTGGTTTTCCATCATAAACGTTCCAATTTCCGACCCTGACGAGTTTCCGATTGATCTTCTCATGCGTTGCACATCGCTGGACCACCCTCAATGCACGGCTCTCCAAGCTGGTTTGACTCAAGAGTTCGCCCTGATCCAAGGGCCACCAGGAACCGGCAAGGTGGGCATTGTTGGAAAACGCCAATCGAGTGCACCATTATTACTACTGAAGCTTGCACAGGAGCTAGTTGGTACCTTGTTTGCTAACCTTCTCCAGGCAATCTAATGCAGACTTTTGTTGGAATCAAGCTCGTGGAAGTTCTCCTGAACAACGCCTTTGCAGATGCGGTGGATGGCGGCCAGAAGGATAATCCCATGGGTCCGATTCTCTGTGTGTGCTTCACCAATCATGCTCTCGACCAGTTCCTGGAGGGCTTGATCGCAAGTGGCATAAAGAATGTAAGCTTAGAAAGTAAACTTCATTACCCTAGCTGATTTGTCTGGTTAATTTTATCTATTCTCCGCAAGGTAGTCCTTGCCATGCAATCTGCAAAGGATCGCAAAGAGTTGAGGCTGCCATATGCCGGTAATTCACATGATTTGCAGGTGGTTCGAGTGGGAGGTAGAAGCAAGTCTGAGTCTCTTCAAAAGTACAACCTCTTCAACATCATCCAAGGGTATTCTCCCCACCACAGCCAGAGTAAGCTTCACAATTCTCAAGGTCGTTAAAAGAAGAAAGAGAGTAAAACATGTTCACCACCGAATTTGAAGTCTTTTAATTGTTGTCTCTGTGTGCATATGTGCAGGCTACAGGAACTCAAAGTTTTCGGTTCACAGCAGGATGAGAGAGGTTGAAAGAGTCATTGCAACCTACAGCGAGGCCTTGCGGTTCAGAAATGATAACTTCCAGGCCATGTCATGGGGCTTGATCTCTCCCCATTTGATGGCGAACCACCCTGTGTTTTTTGAGGCGCTCCAAAGCCCTGTGGAGATCGACATTGTTGATTCCAAGGTGATTGATGCTTGGTCGCAGATGCATTTGTGGTATCTCGTATCCTTTTTCATTCCTTTGACATGTACCGTTGTTGATATGGCAGCACGTGGCACCCGATTATTGGAACGAGTGGAAGCGGGGCTTGACGAAGGAAGCAGTTGTTCGTAGAAACAAAGGACTCATGGAGGCCATGATGAAGCATGCACCGGTAGTTGCGATAGCAAGAAGTAGCCAGGAGGCAGCAACCATGCAGAGTGCACGGGCAATGGACACGTTCGGTGACCGAGCATTGGAGGACCTGCTCGAAGTGGCAGATCCATGGGCAACCAGCCTACGGGAGAGACTGAAGCTTCTGAGGCATTGGTTGGAGGAGCTCAAGGCGACTGCCAATGCTGCTATCGAAGCAGAGGTTCGCAATCATGCGAAGTGCGTAAGACTTTTTTCTCTGTTTTTCTCAGGTGCTCCTATGGCTTTCAAGAAGCTTTTTTTTTGTGTGTGTTGAGAGGGCTAGTGTGATCTGGATCGGCACCAACTGGCAGTGTCAATGATGTATGACTGTGCACTGCAAAGCATGCAGGAAGGTGGCGGAGAGTCGGGAGCTCATGGATATAGAGGACCTGCAGGTGCTGAGGAAGGCGCAGGTGGTGGGCATGACCACGTCTGGGGTGGCCAAGATGCAGCGCCTCATCACGGCGCTCGGCCCGCGAGTCATCGTCGTGGAGGAGGCTGCTGAGGTGCTGGAAGCCCACATTCTCACATCGCTTACCCCGCAGACTCAACACGTCATCCTCATTGGTACAACATCCTGGATGCGCTCCCTTGTCTGATATTCACTCACTTTGATTTTTGGGCTGCTCGTATTTGAGCTTGTATTGGTCGTGTCATAGGCATGGCTACATTGGGTGTGCAAGGTGATGATGCTCCAGTATGACTGTGGCAAAAACACTGAAACCTTCCCCACCTCCATTCTTGTCCCCCACCTCAATTTTGATTGGCAGGCGACCACCTGCAGCTGCGGCCCAAGGTGGAGGTGTACGAGCTGAGCAAGGACTCCCAAAAGGGCTTTGACCTGGACGTTTCACTCTTCGAACGCCTCGCCCTCTCCAAGCAAATCCCCATTTACACCCTCGCCACGCAGCGCCGCATGCGTCCGGAAATCGCCAACCTTATCCGCAGCACCATCTACCCCCAGCTCACAGACCACCCATCTGTTCAGAGCTACCCCGAAGTTCGAGGCATGGCAACAAATCTGCACTTTTGGGACCATGACAGCCCGGAGAAGGGCGGTGATTACCTAAATGAGTCAAAGTCCAAGACAAACGAGGGAGAGATGGACTTGGTGGTGGGTCTGGCGACGTACCTGCTGCAGCAGGGGTACGCGGGAGGGGAGATCACCATTCTCACCCCGTATGTTGGCCAGCTGCTGAAGCTACGCCAGGCGCTCTCCCGTGTGGTCAATGTGAAGCTGGGGGAGAGTGATGCTGAGGTGGTGGAGGAGGCGGAGGAGAAGGCTGCAGCTAGGGGCGGTGGATCCAGAGAACGTGATGGCAGGAGCAAGGGTGATTCGTCACATGGCTCATGGTCGCAGAGCAAGGGGCCGGGACCGGGAGAGAGCCATCTCGTGCCGTCCACAGCGGATTTGAAGGATGAAGTGCGGTTGGCTACGGTTGACAAGTAAGTCCTTTTTTATATAAATAAAGCTTATCTCTACTTCATGCATGGACGAATGAATTAGTGATTGGAGCCTGTTGAAGAATAGTTGATATTAGTTTCTGCTGTACATTGGTTCTGCTCATGTGTAGTTTCCAGGGCGAGGAGAGCACAGTGATCATCATCTCCCTCGTACGGAACAACGGTGACGGCAAGATCGGGTTCCTCAAGAGCCCCAACCGCACCAACGTGCTGCTCTCCCGTGCCAAGCATGGCATGTACATTGTTGGTGAGTCCCAGGCCTTTTCATGGACACTGGATCTTGAATGAGCACTAACATGCTGGGTGCTGGTGGGTGTTACGTCTGACCTGCACCATCGGTGAGTTCACGGAATGTACATTGTTGGTGAGTGGATGGCCCTATCGGTGGATGCTGGAATATGTAATAACAGATACATGACGGGTGTGGATGGTGTTCATTAATGCTCCTGCTGCGTTCCTGCACGCGAAAGTGCTCATGTAAGAAGTTTTCATGCTGATTCTTTTGTTCACTCCCCCATTTCTTCGCCCAAATTTCCACTCTTGCAACAGGAAATGCCAGCACGATGAAAGCTGACCCCAAGTCTGTGCTTTGGCCGAAGGTTCTGAACATCCTCAAGAGCAATGACCGCATTCAGAAGTTCATTCCGCTGCAGTGTGTAAACCACCCTGACACCATCACGCACATTGAGAATGCGAGCGACTTCAAGGAGAAGGCGAGTGAGGGCGGATGTTCTCAGATGTGCGGCTTCAGACTCGTGCCTTGTGGACACACCTGTCCTCGCAGGTCAGAATCACAGGTTCTGTTCCAATGCTCACTCTATGTTCCACTGTTTCCATCTGATGCTGTTATGTTAATTGTCTCCCATGCATGTGATTTTGCTAGCGACAGATGCTATATAGTCAAAGCTCATGTCCACTACCAGTGTTCTATTGGTAGTGCTTGCATTGCACCCCTTTTGGATTGGAGCTAAAGCAACTTTAACAACTTGTGTGTTGTTTGTTTGCAACAGGTGCCACGGGGACGACAGAGCACACGCCAAGACATCCTGCCCCAAGGAATGTAACCGCATACGGCCTCTGGACCAGTGCCCATACCAGCACCCGTGCCCTAAGCAATGCGGGGAGGATTGCGGCGAATGCAAGGCAGTGGTCAAATCAATTACACTACCTTGTGGGCATAAGGCAGTCAACGTTCCGTGCTTCCAGGCACAGCGACCAGCTTTGATTCCTTGCTCGTGAGTTTTCTTCCTCCCTTCTGCTCTTGTCACGTAAGAGCAGTGTGACAGGTGTGGCGCTTGCATGCACATTGTCATCATATCTTTGCTGTTCTACATGGACTCGTAGCTGGACACCACTGTGCGTATGAATGTTGATTTTGCATGAGCCATGCATATCCAATGGGGGCCTTCGGTGTTTGTATGCACAACTTCATTGCTTGCCGCACCTTGTTTTGTTCATAGGATCAGGTGTCACATCTCCTCAGACTTCTCTCTCATGTGTGCCACCCTCTCGACACGTTCTCGCCCATGCATGCATGCACGTGCACCTTATCCAATCGCAGGTCATCAGTGGAAGTCACCATGCCTCTTTGCGGCCACAAGCAGACAGTCAAGTGCAGTGAGGCTGCTACCAGACAGAGCAACCCCAAGCTCTGCACGGCTCGTTGCGGTGTGGTTCTCTCGGATTCCTGCGGGCATGAGTGCAACTATCGCTGCGGTGACTGCATCATTGCCCCAGATAACAAAGCCAAGCAGGAGCAGCAGGGACAGGAACAGCAGGCCTCTGGCCAGGAGCAGCAGCAGCATCAGCAACAGGAAGGAACGGCCACGGAAGTATCGGCACCAAGTGTTTTAAGGAAGCACAAGGTGTGCATCCTTCTGTGCAAGAGACCCCACCCATGCGGGCACCTATGCTCTGAGATCTGTCACGATGGCAAGGACTGCAAACCATGCCGTAAAAAGTGCCTCGTGTCTTGCCAACACAGCTCCTGCTCCCAGTCCTGCCACCGAACCTGTGCCCCATGCGCTGAGCCTTGCGGCTGGTTCTGCAAGCACCAGGGTCCTTGCTCTCTCCCCTGTGGTGCCCCCTGTGATCGCCTCCCTTGCGACAAACGCTGTGAGAAAAAGCTCAGATGCGGCCACCAATGCCCCTCCTTGTGCGGGGAAAAGTGCCCCTCTACCGAATATTGCACTGCTCCCAAATGCGGGTCCAAGACCAAAAGGGAGTATATGGTGGATTTGGTAACTCTGGAGACGCTAGGGGAGGTGAATCCAAACGAGAATCCCATTCTTGTGCTGGCATGCGGCCATGCTTATACTGTAGAGACCCTCGATGGCCATCTTGGGCTGGATGAGGTGTATCTGCAGTCGAAACCTCTGGGTGGCGCTGATGGTGGCTCGAGCAGTGGGGGAACAGTTGGTTACGGTGCTGCTGGGGCTGCGACCGGTGGGGATGATGGAGGTGCTTCTGCTGGAAACAGGTCCAGTGGGACTGGTGCTGCTGCAGGTGGGGATGGTGGTGCTGCTCCTGCTGTTGGAGGCGGGACTACAGCCAAGTGGTTGGCAGTGCTGCCGTTTGAGAATGGCAATCTCTCAGCTCTCAAGGGTTGCCCTGATTGTCGGCAGCCGATCACAGGGCTCCGACGCTATGGCAGAATGGTCAACAAGGCTCTCTTGGACCAATCAGAGCGCAAGTTTGTCGTCGAGTGTTCGGCTGACCAAGAGTCGGCCCAAAGGAGACTCTCGCGGCTTAGCCGAGCTGTGGCTAGGTGCCCTGGGGATGCTTCATTCAATCACCTTGACGAGTTGGGACAGTCTGTGACGGGTTTTATGCGTGAAGCAGAGCGCCTGCGTGCTGCTTCCATGAATCCGCCCACATGGAAGACTTATCAGGCGTTCATTGCAGCTCTGCAGAGGAAGCATGCGCTGCTGGGGGGTCCGACATGGAGTGGTGGGAGAGGCGGGGCGAGTGGTGCTGGTGCTTTTAGTCCTGCAGCGTCGTTGGAGGAGGAATGCCGTCTGCTCTACGTTACCCAGCCAGACGCGCGCCCGCCTTGCGAATCACTCATCATTCTGGCAAAGTGCCACAAGCTTCTCATGACCCTAAACCTCCTCCAGTTGCGGGACCATCTGAGGAATCTTCGTAATGCAACTGGGCATAAAAGTGCTTCCACTACAGAGCATTTTTACCAGTATGTTCGTGGTTGTAGAATAACTGTGCACGCGTGCCTGAACAATGCACGTGAGTGTCTTGTGGGGGCGGTGGATTGGGCTGGCAAGCGCAAGGCACACCGGCTGGAGGCAAGGGCGCGGTTGGAGCTTGTTGCCTTGTACCGTGCATTTGTGGAAGGGATGATGGCAGAGCGCCTGCTGTGGAGCTCCATTGTTGATCAGGTGAGAGAAGCTATCCCACTATCATGTCTTACACGCATTTACACCTTTCCCCCCGAAACATATGGGTATAGATATGACGGATTTGTTAACATGATGCATTTGTATCTTGCAGAATGAATCAAAGGCACAGCAGCTGCAGTATCTTGAGAAGGCTAAGGTCCAATGTCGCATGGTGGCCTATCATGACATAGTCTCTGTCAGGAATGATGTCCTTGGGGAGAGAGCCAGAAGAATGTTAGAGGACGAGCTACCTGCTCTTGAAACATCTGTTCTGGACGAACCCCAGTACTTTGTCGTGACAGAGCGGGAAAAGGACGAGGTGTACAGGGCAATGGGCTTTGGGGCAGGCCATTGGTACCGGTGCCGCAATGGGCATGTGTATGCCATAGGGGAATGTGGTGGTGCAATGCAGGAGTCTCGCTGTCCTGAGTGTGGAGAGGTCGTGGGTGGGAGTGGTCATCAGCTTCGAGAAGGGAACACTTTCGCAGCTGATTTCTTCAGCGGTCTAAATCAGAGATCGCTCGCTTAGGGTTTTTGTTACTCTCTAGGGGCTCAACTTTGTAGTGTGCATCTTAGGGGCTCAAGCTTGTACCATGAAGTTTTTTCCTGACAAGTCTTTCTTATTCGTCTATTTGGATGGCCTTTACCCGATGTGCAGGAACCCCTAATACCGTACTAGTTCTAAGTGATCCAGTCCAGTTTTGATTTTTGGGTGTTACACGCTGTAACCTTTAAGTCACGTCTTCCTCGTCCAAACCCAATGTTCTGGAATCCTAACCGCACCGTCTCAGTTGACGTCAGCAACCCGCCTACTGATTGGCTCGTGCAGATCCTGCTTGGAAGGCAGCATCGAAGTCCAGGAACCGGGTAACCCGACAATAGCACCTGCAGCAGGTCCCAAAGGGGTTTTAGCTGGTGCGACTGTCGGTTGCGAAAAAAGGAGCTGGCGGAGCCTCTGCTGACCACAGCTTTCCAGCCTTCGCAAGCAAGCAACAAACCAGGCTGTGGAGTGCAGCGTACACATGCTGGACTGGACTTGTGTTACCGCATCCCATGCCAAGTCTCATCCCGTTCCCAACCCCTAGGCAACTGCGGTCACACCACCCTGAGGTCTTGAAAGCTAAACTTGGTTGAATGAAAAGCCAGTGGTGTGAAAGAGTTGGTTCCCCGCAACCCTAACTTACCCAACGTGTTTGTGTGCGCCATACCCTTTAGGTTCGCTAGCTGTCTCTGACGGTAGCCTTTACAACTGAGCTTGTAGTCCTTCAATTGTTAGGGGAAATCATCCAACATCGCCTTGGTTCGGCTTTTCAAACCTGTGGTGTTGGTAGGTTTTTATTAGCATTTGGTCGCGGAGATACGATGTTTGGTTCAGGGAAGCTGCCGGATGTGCACTTGCTCATCTCGTCATGGCTGGAGAAAGGGGAGGGGAAGGACCGCACAGTCCGAGATGAAGCTTACGAGGCGTTAGCTGGAGCGTACGCCTTCGTCGGCATGGTGGCTCTGGTAAATCATTCTCCATCGTCTTATTTTCTGAAACGCATTTCTATGTAAATGGTTGTACCTCTTTAGAAGAAAAGGAACATTGCGGTTGAACAAATTCCGAATGTTGCTGAGAGGTTCAGGGAAAGTGTGGTCGTCTCTTATTTCTCACAGTTCAGTGCCTGAGAAGATTGGATCTTCAGCTTCGGAACTTCAAGTAGTTAGGCTCCCACGTCGGTCGCTTCTAATTATCATGTCGTCCTTTGTTATCACCCATTTTCACCCTACATCGGCGGTTATCATCGGTTTGATACCAGTCTACATCAACGGCTATCGCCTGCTCTCGAAAATGCCAACCTCGCTGAATCATGGGGACTCGTGAAACATACAGCCTCACTCCCACCAGCTCGCTGACATTTGATGCTTATTTATTTCTTATCATCTTTCTTCCTGAAGTTGCCTTGTTTTCATCCGTACCCATTTGCGTTCTCCCTATCATTGCTTATGTGCGTCCTTTCTCTCGGTTTCAGATCCAGCTCATTCGCATTCAGCGCAGAGTGCCGGAGTACGGCTGGACCACGCAGAAGGTCTTCCACCTCCTCAACTTTGTCGTCAATGCTTGTACGTCGATGTCGTTGTCGCCGTCGTCGTTATCGTTATGTGGTTACCACATGGTAATGCGTGTATGGATGTTCACTCAACGCCTCTACGGCTGGACCACGCAGAAGGTCTTCCACCTCCTCAACTTGGTCGTCAATGCCTGTACGGCGCCCTCGTCGTCGTTATCGTCACCATCGTCGTCGTTATCGTCGCCATCGCTGTTACCGTTGGCGTCGTCGCCGTTATAGCTGTCCGCCTATTTCCTCGTAATGCCTGTCCTCTATCGATGTTCACTTCACGCCTAGACGGCTGGACCTCCTATAAGGCCTTTTACAGGGATAGCGCACACGCGTTATAGCTCACTCGCTCTATAACTCACTTGCGGTATAGCTCTTACTCCTGCACTCTTTGCTCGCTCTGATTCTCTCGTCGACGTAATACCGTGTCGTACCATTTTTTCACTGTTTCCCGATTCTCGCTTTCCCTCCGCAGTGCGAGCCGTGGTGTTTCTCTTCCGCGAGGAGGTGGAAGTCCTTAGCGCGGGTCCCAACCATGTGAGTCGCTGAAACGTGTTGCGGCCATGTCAGTACGTACGTATGATTTCCGTGCTTGCCGTGGTGTTACCCTTTTGAGACGCGGTGGAGGACTTACGAAAGCTCCACAGCCATGGGAGTCACGAGTCCCGATTGTGTGAGTCGGGAGTCCCTGTTTTATTAGCCCATGTGAGTTTGAATCCATGATTTGTGTCTGGCTCGCCCACATGCACACCTCGTATCCGTTCGGCTTTGCCGTTCGTTTCCCTCTTGGCCGTATGTCCTACCTCTTCGTTTCCTACCTCTCACCCCTTCTTCCCCACCCACCCAACCCTAATTCCCTCTTCCTGTTTTCTTCTGGTGCCAGGTATTCGCGCACGTGCTTCTGGACCTCCCCGGTCTTCTCTTCTTCACCACCTATACCCTCCTCGTGCTCTTCTGGGCTGAGATCTACCATCAGGTGAACCACCTTCTTTCTTTCCTTTCTTTCCGCCAGCCTATGCCATGATTCATGTTTGTTCATGCCCCCTTCAAGCACATGTCCTGCCTTGTAAAAATTCCGCACCTGATCCGTGTCCCATACTTTGTTGCCTTGTATGCCGCAGCCGTCGCCCGCCATTGCGTCAACTGTTTATCTCCCTCCGCTCCCCCACCTTTCAGGCGCGCGGCCTGCCCACAGACAACCTGCGGCCGTATTTCATGGTGGCGCAACTCAGACACCTCAAATTCCCTCCCCGCTCTCACTCCCCGCTCCCCCCCTCCCCCCTCCCCCCCCCGTCCCTCTCCCTCCCTCCTCGTTCTTGCATCCCCTGTTTCAGGCGCGCGGCCTGCCAACGGACAACTGCGGCCATACTTCATGTCAACATTGCAGTCCACTCAAATGTTTCTCTTGCACTCCCTCCCTCCCTCCCCCTCTCCCCCCCTCTCACCTTTCAGGCGCGCGGCCTGCCTACGGACAACCTGCGGCCATACTTCATGGCGGCCAACGTCGGCGTCTACGTGCTGCAGGTGAGGCTTTTGGGGAGTTTGGTGCGGTTCAAATGGGTGCATCGATGTGACCTCATGTTCTGCGGTCGTAAATACAGTATGTAGAGCTCCTGCCTCCCCGTTCTGTCCTCATGTGTCTTCGTCGACCTTTGTTTCCCCTTCCCTAGATTCTGGGCGGCCATCTGGGGGGTGCCATGGCATGTGGTTTGACTGCTAGGACATGCTTACAGTCAAACCTCAACCTCTGCTTGTGTTCCATGTTGGCCTTTGTGCCCTCGTCTCACACCTCTGTCCTCTTCTCCGCTCCCGTGTCTCCTCTACAGGCGGCCATCTGGGGCGTTATGTGGTTCGATCACAAGGACATGCTCACAATCGACCTCATCGCCAAGCTCTTCTTTACGGGTCAGCTAAACACACATTCTCCCCTGTTTCCTCGTTTGTGCCTTACTACAATCATCAACTGGATGCTGACTCTTTTTCCGCTTATCAATCTCACACGTTTCATTCTTTTGTTACTCTTTCCCTTCTCTAGACCCCTGCGTCCACTTCACCACAACCCTTTCCCCAAGCCTCCCCATCCCCCAATCTCCCACCCCCTTCTCGGACCCGTTTCCACCCGCTGTGTCTCTCTCTTCCAGCTCACTTCATTTCTACCGACTCATAATCTTTCTTATCTCCCTCTTCCAACCCGGCCCGGCACTCCCTCCTCTCTTTGCAGCTGTCTCGCTAGCAGCTGCGGCAGGCTTTCTGCTCTATGGCGGAAGGTACGTCTGTGCGAGATGTGAGAGGGAGCAGCGAGCTGAGCCTTGTTATCCTCCCCCTCTCTCCCCCCCAACCTCCCCCCCTCCCTCCTTCCCATCTCTTTCCTGCCATCCTTTCCCTCTGTCTGTGGCTGGTATTGTCACTTCCGCTGTGCACTTCGATTCGTAGCTCACGAATCAAAGTTGCTCTGTTTCAGAGCACTTTGATTCGTGGCTCATTGGAGACGGCTCTGAAACATTCCCTCCTTTCCGGATCGCAGTGTCTCACCTTCGCAGCATTGCACCTCGCCACACCCCCCCTCATCGCCCACCCGCCTTCCTCTCTCGTCCGCATGCCTCTTCCCAACCACTCTCGCTCAATCCGTTGCTCCCTCATTCCTCCCCCATCCTATACGCCCCTCACACCCCCGCTTCCCCTCTCACCATCAGTTCCCCATTGAGTCCCTCCCCTGCCCCCTCCCCCACCTCCCTAATTCCCTCCTCTCCCTTCCCCCTCGTTTCCCCTCCCCCTCTTTTCTCCTCCTATTAGGCTCTTCCTCATGCTGCAGCAGTTCCCCATTGAGTCGCTCTCTTGCCCCCTTCGCCCCTTTCCGGTTTCCCCCCTCTCCCCTTCCACTCGCTCCTATCAGGCTCTTCCTCATGCTGCGGCAGTTCCCCATTGAGTCGCGGGGTCGCAGAAAGAAGCTTCACGAGGTGGGTGGTTTCTTGTTGCATGAGGTTGTGGGTTCGGATGACCTCACCTCTGGCTCTGTCACGCTGTAGGGCTTGCTTGCTTGCTTGCTTGAAATGCTTCAGTGGGTTTATCGTCTCTCCCCTCGCATTCACAGCCCGTTCTTGTGTCTGTGTTCGCCTGTGCCGCTCTGTTCTTCCCTGTGTTACGTATGTAACCCCGTATGGAACTATGTTCGCCTGTGTTCGCCTGCGTTCGCCTGCAGGTTGGCTTCGTGACTCTCATCTGCTTCTCCTGCTTCATCGTCCGAGCTGCCGTGGTGAGTGCTGCTGCTGCAGTCGAGTTGAGCCGTTGTGGGTGCATTTCAGCTTTGCACCATGCATCATGGAGGCATTATGGGTGCATCATGGGGGTATCACAGGAACATCATTGGTTCATCAGGCATCATGCATCATGGGGACAGCATAGGGGCAGTATGGGGCAGCATGAGGGCAGCATGGGGACAGCATAGGGGCAGTATGGGGCAGCATGAGGGCAGCATGGGGTCATCATGGGGACGTTATAGGGTAATGATGATGGGGGCTTCACAGCAGCAGTGGGTGGACCACATCGCCTGTAGCATCACATCTACAACATCCAAATTCATGTCGGGAGTAGCAGCAAACCTTGAGACGACTTTTGAGGCGCCTCAAAAGGTATCGCAGCAGCAGTGGGTGGACCACATCGCCTGTAGTATCACATCTACAACATCCTCTCCCATTTCCCCCTCCCCTGACTCCTTCCCTCCCCCTGCTTCCCCACTCTTCTTTCCCTCGTTTTGTCCTCGCAGATTTCTTATTCAGCGGTTATGAGCACGGCATCAAATAACTTTTCAATGTAGAAACCGCGTGTAATGAGTCTGCTTTTGAGTCGACTCAAAAGCGTTTTGTCCTCGCAGATTTCTTATTCAGCGGTTAGGAGCACGGCATGGCTGGACTGGACGTGGTGGGTCAACGTCGCTCGGTATTCAGGCTTTCCCCCTGTCCTGATCCCCTGCCCTCTTTAACCTTTTTCATCCACGCAGATCGCCTATTCGGCTGTTGTGAGCACGGCATGTTGATGGTATTTTTGAGAATTCTCAGAAGTACCAACAACGTAATTGTGAGCACGGCATGACTGGACGTGGTGGGGGAGGACCCTAGGGTCAATGTCGCCTACCTATCACAACATACCTCTTGATTACCCCTTCCCTCCATCTGCCCTCCCTTGTATCCCGTCCTCTTCCCTCCTTTCTTCCCCTCCCTTCTTCCCCGCCCTCTTCCCTCCTTACTTCCCCTCCCTTCTTCCCCTCCCTTCTTCCCCCCCCTCTCCCCCCCGCTGCACAGATCGCCTACTCAGCCGTTGTGAGCACAGCTTGGCTGGACGTGGTGGGGGAACCCTGGGTGGGTTTTTGAGTCGACTCAAAAATCGACTCTGGACGTGGTGGGGGACCCCTGGGTGGGTTTTAAAGTTGACTCAAAAATCGACTCTGGACGTGGTGGCAGACCCCTGGGAGGGCCACATCGCCTGTTGTTACAACATCCCCCCCTCTATGTCCCCCTCCCTGCCCCTTCCCTCCCCCTGCTTCCACTCCCTCCTTCCTTTCTGTGTCAATTCAGATCGCTTATTCAGCCGTTGTGAGCACAGCATGGCTGGACGTGGTGGCAGACCCCTGGTCTACTCCTCCAATGTTCCCTCTTTTCCCTTCCCCACCCTCTTCCCTGCCCTCGTCTGCAATTCTGTGTGTTGACGCAGATCGCCTATTCAGCCATTGTGAGCACGGCATGGTTGGACGTGGTGGCAGACCCCTGGGTCAACGTCGCCTACTATGCTGTAAGGCCCCCCCTGTGCCCGCATGCATGCACCTGTGCCCACATGCATGCACCTGTGCCCACATGCATGCACCTGTGCCCGCATGCATGCACCTGTGCCCACATGCATGCACCTGTGCCCACATGCATGCACCTGTGCCCACATGCATGCACCTGTGCCCACATGCATGCACCTGTGCCCACATGCATGCACCTGTGCCCACATGCATGCACCTGTGCCCACATGCATGCACCTGTGCCCACATGCATGCACCTGTGCCCACATGCACCTGCACCCTTCTGCTCCCTCTTTCCCCGCTCGCCCTTCATCCCTCCCTTCCCGTTCACAGTATGTGCATTTCATCTCCTTCCTTTCGTCACACTCAACTCACATCTTCCAGACTCCCCACCTTTTTCCCTCTTCATTCCCCACATCCTTTCCCCCCATCCTTTCAAACCATCCTTTCGCCATCGCTTCCCCCATCGTGTTCCCCCATCCTTTCCCCGCATCGTTTCTCATCCTTTCCCCCCATCATTTCCCCCCTTCCTTTCCCCCCATCCTTTCCCCCAATCGTTTTCCATCCTTCCCCCCCATCTTCCCCGCCCACTTCCTAGTGTGTGGGGCTCATCCCAGCAGCGCTGCTGCTCTACATTCTCTGCAAGCTGCCTCTAGATGCGTCTTTTTCCACCTGATAATTTCTCTCTCTCCCCTCCCTCCCCACCTTCCCAGTGTGTGAAGCTCATCCCAGAAGCGCTGCTGCTCTACATTCTGCGCAAACTGCTTCGATTCCACCTGACGTTTTGCCCACATCACTCCCCTCTTCTCCCTGTTCCCCTTTTCTTTTTCCACTTCCCAGTGTGTGGAGCTCATCCCAGCAGCGCTGCTGCTCTACATTCTGCGCAAGCTGCCTTTCGATGCGTCGTCTTCCACCTGATAACATCTCTCTCTCCCATCCCTCCCGCTCTCCCCCCTCCCCCACTTCCCAGTGCGTGGAGCTCATCCCAGCAGCCCTGGTGCTTTACATTCTCCGCAAGCTGCCTCCGAAGCGCAATGCCAACACTCAGGCCCTGCGCTAAGCGTTCGGATAGGGCTTGCATTCACAGCGCACTCATTCAGTGGGGCGATACAGTCCAGTGCTGCAATTGAGTAATATAGTGCATTAACTGTGCAGTGATACAGTGCGTTGTTGACATACTGTGGTGTTACAATGTGTGTGCGCGCGACACAGCTGGTGCAGAGAGTGAGTACTTGCAGCTTTCTTCAGAACAACGGAGTTCCGGTAGTACCCGTAGTAGTATACGTGGAGCAGAGAGTAGTTGCTTCGATGTGCTTACACAGGTCTTGCAGTGCTAGTCTGTTTCACTACCAAGCTGTCATGGTTCATGGCCCTCTTTGCTTCTGCCACACTCGCAATGGCAGTCGAGTATGGTATTGCTAGGCTTGCTGAATTGGATGGGTGCAGAGGAGATTTGTGATTTGAGTTTATGGATTCTTTGTGTATTTATTGTTTCCACACTGGAGCTCTTCTGAATGCCTGTAATGCAACTGAATGTGAGGACATACAATACTTGTGACAACTGGCACATGTACGAACATATGCAATAACCTGTCATTCAATGGGCTGGACCTTATGAGAGGACCCCCCCAGGCCCCCACCTCTCCCCTTCCTTGCAACACCCCAACATTTTTTTCCACCTTTTGACCCTTCTTACTCATCCTCGTCATCATCATCTGAACCATAGGTTGAAAACAAGTTGGTTAACGCAGCTTTCCCCTTCTCCTCGTCATCTCGCTGCAAGCCACCAGCACTGGAACCCCCTGAACCATCAGCATTGCCTCCAGCAATTTCAGCTCCTGAATTTCTTCTAGAATCCCTGCTCGCCAATGGCACTTTCCCTGCATCTTTGATTGGCACTGTTGCCTTGTCTGGCACCTTGCTCTTTGCCTTCACCATAAACACCACCTTCACAGGCTTGGCTTCAAAGGCCGGCCGAGGGTCCTCATGGACAAATCTGCTCCGTCGATTTTCAAAGGCTGAACTTGCTGCTACTGCTGCTTCCCCTGCTGCTCCTGTGCCTCCTGCTGCCGCTGCTTCATCTTGAATTGCTGATGCTGCCTTAACCCCTCCCGCAACAGCCGATGGTTCTCTCGAGCTCATGACTTCACCATTATCACCCGGAACATCACCACCGCCTGCTTCAGCTTCGCCTCCATTGGCGACAATACGAGCCCTTTTAACCCCTCCTTGCTGATCCTTGTTGCTGGCTTCAGCTCCCTCACCTTCTTCCCCCTCATCCTCCTCGTCACTGTCTATCCTCTTTACAAACTTCTCTGATTTTCTGAATACTATATTTTTAATCAGCTCCTCATCTTCTTCCGTTAGTTGTTTCGGATCCGCTAACACTCCTCCTCCGCTCCCACCAGCTCCGCCGGCCGATCTCTGAAGCACCTCCAGAACCGCTGCTGGATCTAGGGTTGCTTGTCGCGCACGCATCGATTTCATTTCGTCCAAGGCCGCGAGAATGTCCATTTCCATCTTGGAGTCGAGGGTTCGATTCTCGAGAGCGCGCATGGCGTCGCCCATTTCTTCCTCCTCGCGCTGCCGCTTCGCGGTCGCCTTCTGCTCGTCCGACGCTCGCCATGGCTCGAAATTTCTGGACGCTCCGGATTCCATCTCGTAGTCGCTATTCTTCGGATCCGTCTTCATGACCATCTCAGCGGAACACTTAGTACACTTGAAATAGAAGCGGAATTTCATGAGACCGAGGTAAGTGTCTCCGACAACGTCCTCCTTCCGGCAGTTGAATTTCGTCCCCTTGTACATGTACGTCCCGCAGGTGTTGCATCGGATGCTCATAGGAAGCATCATACGAACTTTCATCTGCTCATTTTTCAGCGGGATGCGCTTCGGAATCTTCGACGGATCGAAGTCCGGCGGGTAGTACTTGTTGAGAACCTTCCGCTCACCCATCGCTCCTGGCTTGAGAAACCGAAATTACTGGTGAAGAAGGATTAAGAAGCAGTCAAGAGTATGCTGGAATACACAATAAGACGATGAGGTGTGAAATAAAAGAGTCGGTTCTAGGACAGGTCCTCGGTATGTGAAAAAGCTGAACAAGCTCAAATCTCATGAAGATTACTGATGGACTGATGACAGTGGAGAAGGAGGTTTTCTACAGGGGTGATTCACCCAAGATTTGCAATGAAAGTCGCGTAAGGGTTCGATAGCGCAGATGATAGCCGTCACAAATTGTTTGGGAGTTCCTATTGGCCGAATTCCTCTATTTGGGGTGGCCGCAACAAGTGCCACATTCTTCAAAGTGTTCGTCCACAGAACGAAAAGTTCCTTGCAGCATCTGTATCCCACCCGAGGGACTAGCCCGTTTTCCGTAACGTGTATCCTTTCACGAAGATGCACCACGGCTAGACTTCTTCATGTCTGGACTCCATGTTGGAAATTCTAGCCACTAGAGAATCATAATATAGCAGTACAATTGTCTATTCGCTAGTCGCTGGTTCTTCTGTCGTTACCGCTGTTGTTTCCCAATAGCATCTTTTGATACTCCACTTTTTAGGGTTCACAATAGAATGTGTTTTCTATGCAGGCCTTCATCACGCACTAGTCTCGCGCTCATAGCTTCTGAAGTTCCAAGCAGCTTGTGAGCTTAGTCAGCGTTGCAACTCAGCCATCTGTAGGTTTATTTTTCGCGACCTTGTCACCATGGCAAAGCGCATTCCTATGATCAAGTTCCCAATCCGGTCTCGAGGTGAGCGTCGTTTTCTTGCGCAGACAGCTTGTTTTCGCTATGTTCAACCTCATCCTGCTTTCGCCATTTCGCCTTCACACCATTTCCCCGTTGCTTCCGTGCTGATTAGTATCCGTTTTTATTCAACGTATCCATTTCCTACCCGCAGTCTCAGCTCCAACACCAGCAGCTGCACAAACGTCCCAAAAAAATACCCCTTCGCTTCAACAATTCACATCAGCACCAGCACCAGCACAAGCAGGAGCATCCTCAAAACCGCGAAAGGCGGCCACGTCACACCAGCCTTCTGCTCCCGTTGCCAGCTCTTCTTCATCCTCTTCACAAGCAGCTCCGGTTATAGAATCCATAGCGGTTCCTGTTGCTGGTGTGAGTGAAGTGGCAAAGACGAATGCTAAGAAGCCGGGGCCTCAAGCAGCAAGTTTGCAACCTCGACGGAAGCCCATGACAGACGAAGAGATTGACCTGATAATGGTGAGGCATTGACCTGATAATGGTAAGACATTGACCCGATAATGGTAAGACATTGACCCGATAATGGTAAGACATTGACCTGATAACGGTACGAGAGTGACCTGATAATGGTAAGACATTGACCCTATGACTGTTAGTCATCATGTCCGTTCAGGTTATACATTGCAAGAGATTTCCCCCATTTGTTACTGTGCAATTATTCCAGTTACCAGCCTCTGACTGAACCCCCCCTTTCCCGTTCTTCCCCCCCACCCCCTCCCCGCCTTCCCTTTTCCCTTTTCTTACATGTTTCTATCCTGTTGCACCTGACAGAGTGGTGGAGCAGTCTTTTTCTAATGTTCTGAAATTACCTAAATTCACAGCTTTGAGGATTTACAGCAGATTGTAATCTCCATCGTGCCAGGAACACACGTCTTCACAATCATATTCGCACAGATCCCAACAGCACAGAGTTCATGAGAGCACAGGGTGATGGATGGCTGGCTAGCTAGCTAGACACAGGATTCCTTGGCTGGATATGATTGGCAGCTGCTTGACCCACCCAGTGATTTCTTGCTTCAATATTGCCAGTTACATTGTGATCTGTGCTGAAGTACCATGCTTTCGTGTGCAGGCTATTGCAATGCATGGTGCTAAAACTCCAGGAAAAGTTCCACGACCTGCTCCCCAGGAACTGTATTAGTATCACGGTACATGGTTCACTGGAACACTGAGGTGAAGATGTGAGCATAATCATCACAGTGCTTCACATGCAAAAGATACCAAGTAGGTACATCCATCAGGCAACCAGCAGCACTTACACATGGAAGTACATGCCTGAGATAAGCCACACGACCCAGGAATAAACAGTAGGTGAACTACCACCCGCCGCAGGACTTACAGTTCCAAAAACACATCCATAGGACCATAAAAAACACATGGAAAGGAAACCGGCACGATAGAAACAAGACAGATAACAGAACATGCACGGGTTAGACAACTTGAGAGGGGTGCAGATAGTGGGGTTGTTACAGGAATAGAAATAACAACAGTCACATGCGCATAGCAGCAGGAAACGACGAGTAGTGAGGGAATCAGTGGTCTGGCAGCAGCTGGTGGTCAGAAGGTTATGGTAGCCTGTCAGTGAGAGCGATAGGTTCGATGTGAGCAAACATGATGTTGCGCAGCACCGTAATGTGAATTCTGAGTTGTCTCAAATGTCACCTCTCGTGCGCATAGGGTTACAGTGGCTGGCTGTCAGCGTGAGTGATGGGAGTGGCCTTAGGATCGAATTCGAGTACCAGGCGGAATGCCTTTCTTCTAGTAGAGCAGCACAGTCTTGAAGAGGAGTGGAAGGGGAATTATAACTGAAATGCTTGTTGCGCTGCCTCGGGCAGAGAGGCAGCATGACTTTCGAAATCCCTCAGGCGGAAAGCAGCAGTGCAGTGCAGTGCTTGGTGGGCTGGTGGGCTGGCAGCTGGTCCAGGTGAGGAGACCCCACATTACTGCTTGGTTGGCTGGTGGCCAGTGGGCTAGGACAGGAGACCCCACATTACTGCTTGGTGGTTTGGCTCTTTCTAATCCCTCGCATCTTCCCACCGCCAACCTCACTCTCCGAAGACCTGGAAGCAACAACCTTCGTTGCACCTCCTCCTCCCCTTCCCTCCCCCCCTCTTCCCTCCCCTCCTCCTCCTGCTACAGCTGCCGGCCCTGGCACAGACCGGCCCCTCTCCTCCCCTTGCTGCGGCTTCTTCACCTTCTTAGCAGGCTCTCGCACCTTCCCAGCCTTCTCCCCTGAACCCCCAGCCATCCCCCCTCCCCCTCCTCCTCCCCCTCCACCTCCCCCACCCCCCAGCCCTCCCTCTGCGGGAATTGTTATACCCCTAGTGGGAAGAGCCCCACCTTTGCCCTTAATGGCTGCCTCCAAACTGGCAGGGGAGAGCATGGAGGGGTGCACAGCAGGAGGAGGCGCGCGGGGACTCTCTGCGGTACTAAACGGAATCTGGAGAGCAGGGAGGGGCGGGAAGGGCTTGCGAAACGGACTCCCAGCTGTTCCTGCCCCAGCTGCTGCGGGATTGCCTGGAATACCGGGAGAAGCCATGCTGCTGCTGTTGCTGCTGCAGCTGAGGGGAGGAGCACGAGCAGGGGAGGCAGCAGAGGAGGCAGCAGAGGTTGGTCTAGAAGCAGAGGAGCTGTTCCCGCCTGCAGCACCACCAGCAGACGGGTACAGATCCCCAAACGTCTCAGCAGGAGCGCCCTCTGACTCGCCTCGGGATGATGCAGACACAGGACTACGCCCAGCACCTGCTGCTGCTGCAACTGCGGATGCTGCTATGCCTGAAGGTGCAGAGGGGTTGTCAGCGGTGTGGGCGTGAGTGCGAGTGGTTGAGCTGGAGACGGAGCGGCGGAGAGGCAGGGCGGCGGTGGGGGGAAGGGCGGCAGGCTGGGAGGGCGTGCCGGTGTGAACTCGACGCAGCGGCGCCAACCCCCCTCCCTGCTGCTGCTGTTGCTGCTGAGACTGAGAAAGCCGGTGCTGCCGCTGCGGCTTCTGCCCTTGCTGCTGCAGCTGCTGTTGTTGCTGAGAGGCAATCCCTTGCGGGTTCACACCATCCCACTCAAGCTCGGGAGGAACTGTGGGACTGCAGAAATCAGGAGTAGGGGACTGGGGGTAGTTCATGCCTCCTCCCATGCCTCCACCCAGGCCTGCCCCAGGAGAATTACCAAAGGCAGCAGGATTGGGTTGTTGAAGCATCTGGTTCGGCATGTGGTTCAGGAGGTTGGGGTAGAGTTCTCGCTCAGGGACGCTGCGAGTGCGGAAGAAGGGAGGGAGCACCAGGGTAGGCGGCCCCTCCTCATCCTGCTCCTGCTGGGGTGGCTTCATAGACACTCCCTGCTGCTGCTGCTGCTGGTACTGCTGCTGCTGATACATTTGCTGCTGCTGCATTTGCTGAGGGTGGTGATTATAGGGATGGGGCGCGTTCGGGCGAGGGGCATTACAAGGCACCATCCCCCCCATCCCCATGCCTCCTGGTCCGCCCATACCACCCCCCGTTCCCCCGCCCAGACCTCCCCCCCTCCCCCCGCCCATACCCGGCCCCATCCCCCCTCCCATCATCTCCCCAGGCATTTTGTTCATGGATGTTCGATCCCCACTCACGCTCCTGCGCATTGGGGGAACCGCAGGCCCCCCAACCGCCCCCCCGCCAAGCCCCCCACCCCCCATAGCTCCCCCCATCCCCCCAGACATTCCCCCCGGCGCTCCCCCCGCCCCCAGCCCCATTCCCCCACCCATCCTTGTCGCGCCCTTGGCTCCCCGCGCCTGCTGCTGCTTCCCCGCGCCCTCCCCATAGTTCCCGCTCCCCCCACTTGCCCTTAGCTTTCCGCCCCCATAATTCCCGCTTCCCCCGCTCCCCCCTAACTTTCCGCCCCCATAGTTTCCGCTTCCCCCGCTTCCCCCTAACTTTCCGCCTCCATAGTTTCCGCTCCCCCCAGCTCCTGCCAACTTCCCTCCCCCATAATTCCCGCTCCCCCCACCACTCCCTGAATTAGCGCCCCCATAATTCGCGCTCCCTCCACTCCCCACCAAGTTCCCGCCCCCGTAATTCCCGCTTCCCCCACTCCCCACTAAGTTCCCCCCTCCATAATTTCCGCTTCCCCCACTGCTCCCTAAGTTCCCGCCTCCGTAATTCCCGCTTCCCCCAGCGTATCCTGGGCCATTCGAAGGCGGGTTGAGGGAGAGTGAGGCGGCGGCTCGGTCTAACGAAGCAGAGGGGAGGCTCGCAGCGCGTTTGCCGGCGATAACGGCGCGGCGCTGGGCTAAGGGGGGCAGGTTTAACTGGACAGGTAGGTCTGAACCGTCGTCCTGCTGACGCTGCTGCTGCTGCTGTGGTGGTGGTTGTTGTTGCTGCAGCTGCTGCTGCTGTTGTTGTTGTTGCTGCTGCTGCCCCGCTTGAAATTGACGTTGGGCCAATGGGGGTAGGTGTAACTGGACGGGTAGATCTGAATCATCGTCCTGCTGCTGTTGCTGCTGCTGCTGTTGTTGTATCAGCAGCTGCTGCTGCATTGCTTGCGATTGGCGCTGAGCTAGAGGGGGCAGGTGTAACTGGACGGGTAGATCTGACGCATCGACCTGCTGTTGCTGCTGGAAGTGCTGCTGTTGAAATTGACGCTGAGCCAAGGGGGGTAGGTGTAACTGGACAGGTACATCTGAATCGTCGTCCTGCTGCTGCTGCTGCTGCAGCTTCTGTTGTTGCTGCTGCTGTTGTAGCAGCAGGTGCTGCTGCATTGCCTGCGACTGCCGCTGGGCTAGGGGGGGCAGGTGTAACTGCACAGATACATCTGAACTGTCATCCTGTTGCTGCTGTTGCTGTTGTAACAGCAGCTGTTGCTGCATTGCTTGCGACTGCCGCTGGGCTAGTGGCGGCAGGTGTAACTGGACAGATACATCTGACGCATCATCCTGCTGTTGTTGCTGCAGCTGCTGCTGCTGCAGGTGCTGCTGTTGCACCGCTTGAAATTGACGCTGGGCCAACGGGGGCAGGTGCAACTGCACAGATACTTCTGAACTGTCGTCCTCCTCCCGCTGCTGCTGCTGCGGCGGCGGCGGCATATGTTGTGCTTGGCGCAGCGGCTTCTGCTGCTGCTGCTGTTGCTGCTGCGGAGGCGGCGCTTGATGCCTCTGCGCTCCCCCTACTTGCGGAACGCCTTGTTGCGCCACTCCGCCTCCCCCTCCCCCTCCGCCGCCTCTCCCCCGGCCCCGCGGCCTCCCCATGGGCCCAGTTCTTCCCCCCGATTCTCCCCTTCCCCCCGATACCCCCCTTCCGGCCGTTCCCCCCATTCCGCCGGTCGGCGCAAGCCCCGCTGGCCCTGGCCGCGCTTTTCCCCCGCTTCCGCGTACCTCATCCTCGTACTCGGGGTACGCGTCCCCGTCAGCTGTGTACTCGTCGATGTAACCGTACGGTGCCTGGTTGTAAACCTGCTGCGTTACAGCGTGTCCGACTCCGCCGGGTTGGGGGGGACCGGCGGAACCCCCCCAGCCGCGCGGCTGCTGATTGAGCTGCTGCTGCTGGTGCTGTCCCGCATACTGTCGCTGCTGATTCGTTATAGGCTGATTCGACTGCGGCCTTGGCTGCTGCTGCTGCTGGAAGTCACTTATGCCGTTAGCGTACGGAGCTTCGCCTCTCAGGGCGGCTTGCCCAGCCTGACCGCGAACCTGAGGCATCTAGTAGCTTTGCTGAGATTCGAACCCGCGACCTTGAGAGTCAGTCCCGACACCCTTCATGCATCATCCCCACTGCCACATGTCCAACGTTCATATCCCTGTCGGCGCCGCTTAAAGCCGAATTGCATCTCGTCAACTGACGCTTAACCCGAAAATACGCCGTTCTCGTTCGACTATTGCATCTCGTTCGAGCGCTACTTCTACATGATAAAAAGCATGCGGGAAATGATCGTACCTGTGCTTGCAACTTACCTAGATAGTAAGCTATACACGTTAATGCTAAACAATCCGAAATTGTAAACGATAGAGCTAAACGAGGCCGTAATCTCGTGCGCAGACCATATAAACTTCTGCTCAAACTGTCCTAAAACCTTAGTGGCCTGGATTGCCAAAACAGACAGCTGTGTGGGTGGTGGGTGTTGGTGGGGTGTACGGAAAAACAGGTGCCAGAACAACAGTGTCTTGAAACTCCCAACTCCCAGGTTCCAGTCTGTCTCAATTGAACTCAAGTCTCAAGGGTGATGGGAAGTGGCAAAACTGGAACCTGGGCGATGGCAACTGGCAAGGCAACATAGAGAATGCCGAACCGAAGTTCTACGTAACCAGCAAAACGGTACTTGGAGACAGGGAGGGAAAGGAGGTGGGTGGGGGACAACCTATCAGCTTTCTAGCCACACCAGCCCAGCAAACAGCCATATACGCGTTACTGTATACGTATCCGCTTGAACACGAAAATGGGCAATCGTAGAAGAAGGCAATGAGCCTTTTGAAACAATATCACGAAATTTGATTGGACCGGGTATTCAACATAATGCATTCGATTATACAGCTATTTGATTTCTTTTCACTAGCATCAAGTCTACTTTTATAATGTTTCTTAGTGAGAATACATGCATATTATCCTCTGAGCCATGCAGAAAAATTAACATCAATATTTTAAGTATTTCTGTTTTTGTTTCAAGCCATGCATGCTTTGGCATTGATATGTATACTATGTCGTTCGCGTGAGCTCAACAGCGGGTTTTGCAGCTTCGGACGACTGCCATGCCACAGACAGACGTCAAACCACGAAACGGAACGTGTGTGGCCGATATGGATCTGGATCGATGTCACGTCAGCCTGGCATTGCGCCCACTGCCACACCAGTGTGGCGCGGGTGTCTGCAGCGTTGACCACCAATCCGCGTCGTTCGTTCTCCTTGTCACTTCCGCAAGTTTCTTACATATAAAACCACTCGACACCGTACAAGAACGGAGCGAGTGGTTTTCTCCTTGTCAGTTACGACTGTGGAGCAAGCTGCTCCAATGTTCGACCCACCCACCTCTCTCGCTTGACTTTTCTTTTGTGCTTCCAGTCTAGAGCCCATTCACATGTGGATGGTACGGCATGCCCATAAGGTGTATTCCTGCTCGTTTCAGACTCGGGGGTCACAGCTGCTTTCCACGTCCGGTGAGGTCTTCGTCTGCAAAAAAACCATCACTTAGCATTTGAGTTCAGGCCAAGTTTCAGTCCCAGCTCATTTCACTCGGCAAAAACAGCGGCAGCGAGGTGTGGCAACAGCTGCAGCGGCGGCAGCAGCAGCAGCAACTGCAGGGGGGCGCACCGCCCATGCAGTGGTGGTCTTGATCAACAAGAGGAGCAGGAGAATAGTTGCCTGCAACGGAGTGCGCAATGAAAGTTGCACATTGCATGAAGATGCACCTGCAGGCCAAATGCAAGCCCACAAAGATGTTCGCGAGCGAAAGTGCTTGCCCTTGCTTGCTTGGCTGAATGAAATGACAGCACTGATCTGTCTTCTCGATCACTCCGACCTCTTCCTCTCCTATTCTCGGGAGCGCGAATAAGAACTGTCGTGAGTCGTGACCTTTGCCTCGATCGCGATTTTTGTTACTCATAGCTGTCTTTTCGTAAGCGTTTCGCCGCAACTGACGGCGGAATCTACGGGCATGGCGACCAGAGGGCAGCAGCGCATGCAGAGCTGTAGATTAAAGCTGCAGCAGCTCCATCTAGACACTCTGAACCAGGACGACCCCGAGTTGGGGGACTATCGCGTAAGCGAATCTTGCCGTACCGCAAACGATGTTGTTTCGCAAAAGAGATGGGTGCGGAAGAGACGATCGAATGAAAAGCGGCGACCATTCTACCCGGTAGTTGAAATGCGACAGTCAGCTGGTAACACAATAACATTCTCCTTGGCGAAAGCCGAACCGGTTCTCGCCAAGCGACAGGCCGTTGCAGCTCCAACTAGAGGGGCAGCGGAATGGTTTATAGTGGTTCCTGATTCGCAGGGAAGCTCGAGGCGCGGATTCGCCACGGTCGCACGCCGACGACGCGCTGACCGTGACGACGACGATGACTACGCCGCCGACGACGACGACGGCGACATCGACGAACCCGTGTGCGACGATTGCGACGATTGCGACGAATTCGGTGACGGTCTCGGCGACGCCACCGGCGACGCATCCAGCAGCAACAGCGATTTCGAGACGAACGAGATGGATCAGATGTTCGGCGAGTTCAGCCGCACGAGCAGCTTCGCAGAACCTTCCACAGGAAGGTCGACTTCGTCGCAGGGGCAGCAACAGCATTTCCGCAGGGGAGCAGGCATGTCTCAACCCGCAACTCCCGCTGCGCCGCGAGCGACGCCGCGTGTTGTCCCGGCGGCGCCTTTCACGCCGTCCGCGGCCGCAGCCGCCGCCACGACGCGCCGCTTCCTGTGGTCGTGCGAGGAGTCGGAGGAAGACGAGTGCGCCGCGGAGGAGGCGGCAGTCGAAGCGCGTTTTCCGCGATTCCCGCCGCTTCCCACACCGGTCGGCAGCGGTAGAGGCGGTGGGTATGGAGCAGGCAGAGATGGTGCTTTAAACGGAAAGGCTTGCAACGGGAAAGCGGTGTTGCGTAGGCGGTCGCTGTCGTGGTCAGACCTGTCGTCGTCGGAAAGCGAAGAGGACAATTACGGGGATACTCGAAAGGCGCCAGGAGGCAGCAGGAACGGGGCGGAAGGTACTAGCACTGTCGCGATTGGCAGTTGCGGAGGGGGCGGGGAAAGCTGTGGCGGAAGCAGGGGGAAAGACCGCATTGGATTGATTTCGCGCGCGTCAGAACGGGGGAGTGTTGGGGCGGGAACAACAGGGGCGGAATGGGACAGAGATGGAGCGGCGGACCGAGCGGACGGGCACGCGCGGAGGATCTGTCAGCGGAAGCGGAACCTAAAGACCCGCGCCGCTGCGGCGGCAGCGGCGGCAGCTGCTGCGGCTGCAGGCGCGGCTTCTATCTTGAAACGCAGCAGCAGCTTAAGACGACAACATAGTCTCAAAGAACCCGGGGTGAGGGACCTCCGCGGTCACGCGCATTCGGAATGGGAAGGGACGGCAGAGGGAAGGGCAACGATGGCGGGTGCGCGGATGCGCGCGGCTACGGATGTCGCGCTCGTAGGAACAGAGGGCGCGCGCGCGGCAACGGGGAACGCGCGCGCGCCCAACACTGCGGAAGTGAGGAGCGTCTCCTTTGCCGCGGGGGAGTGTCAGCGGAACGGACAGGGGGGGTGGCATGAAGGCTCGCCGCCAGTTGCGGCGCTTAGGAAGTGCTCGCTCGAGAGCGCGCGGACTCCGCGCACGTGGCAGCGAGGCAGCAGCTGCAGCAGTAGCAGCAACGCGCGGGGCAGCAATGGCGCGGGAAAGGGGAGTTTTAGTGGAGCGAGCGGGGCGAACGGGAGGTTTGGGGGAGCAAATGCGGAGAAGGGGAATTTTGCGGGAATCAGCAGTTTGCGGAGCCGCGTGCGGGTCGCGTCCATGCCAGAGTCGGCAATTCAGTCGCTGCTGAGCGGGTGGCAAACAGCAAGCTTCGATAGTGGCACATTGGATACGGTAGGAATCGATAAAACAACTGATACTGTAGCAAGGGGTAGTGTAGCATGGACAGCAACAGAACGTGACAGTAACGAGTTGGATTTTGTGGAGGAGGCTGGTTTCCAGGCACCCTCAGCAGTAGGAGTGACAGTAATAATGGGGGGAGCAGCAGAGTCACATTCAGGGGAGGGAATGGGGATGGGGACAATGAGAAAGCACCGGCCGCTGCAGCGACAGCTATCAAAAGTGCTTGGGAGCATGAAGGAGCGAATAACGAGGACCGCAGGGAAAGAGGGGTAGGGGGAACAGGGACGACTGAAATATAGGGGGAACAGAGGGATAGGAGTGACTGAGAAAGGGGGATTGGGCTGTTAGGGAAAATAGGGGGAAAGCCAGTAGGAGGGTATTGAGGAAACATTCTCCTCGACCCCATAGACGGGACAGGGATCAGTGAGGCTGGACGAACAGATGGGATCAAGGGTGCTCCTCCTGACGAATATAACTCAGCCTGACGGTGACAGGTGCATGTGTCTCCCGAGCAGATTCACATGGTGGCTTATCATGAATGTGCCAGTAGTAGGTACCGTATGTAGCAGCAGTGTTACAGTGTAATGAAGGACAGTAGTACTTCATATCATTTGTATAATTCACGTGATTCAGCCAAGCATTCAACGTAGCAATGCTTGGAATCTTAATCAGCCAAGCTTACTTGCTATACCTCAGCCCTACCATACCATACCGTACCGTACCACTGATACTTCCAACAGTGCCATTTGCAAGCTTGGGCACAGTGAGACAACAGACCGGGTCGTTCCCTGGAAAGGCCAGGAACCCCATAAAAAATACTTATGAAACGGACACCAAGCATAGCTTACAGGAATCTGGTTTGTGTTACAGCCGCTCGCTTGGATACTACCAGGGGTACGCCGCACGTGCAAGGGAAGCAGGCCTGGCTCCCCGGCCAGGCAGAATTTGAGTCGACTCAGGGCGTATCTTCACTTCGGGTCATGGCACTGTTTGGGTCATCACTGTACACTTTGGGTCATGAGGGAACCAATGATATTGCAGAAGTGTAGCTAAAATGCGCTGTATTGGTTGTCCAAGAATCTCGGATGACCCAAACAGTGCCATGACCCGAAGTGAAGATACGCCCTCAAAAGTACAACACGAGACCACCACAAGTGCTATCTCTGGTTGAAGCATGCAGCTGCTTGTTTGGATATACCCAGAGGCACATGCAGGGGAAGCAGGCCCGGCTCCCCAGCAAGGCAGAACCCACAGACCCCGTAGAAAGAGTGCAGGATGTCCGGGAATCCCCCTGGGTGCTTGCTGAACCCTCCGTACCTCTGTGGTAGGAGAGAGGGAGAAGGGGGGAGGGGAGAGAGGATCAAGAGGGGCAGAGGCCGCAGAACCAGTAGAAGGAATGCAGAATATCAGGGAATCCTCCTGGATGCTTGCTGAACCCTCCGTACCTCTGTGGCAGGAGAGGGGGGGAGGGGATGGGGGAAAGGGTAGAAGGGGATTAAGCCGGGCTCCCTGGCCAGACAAACCCAGCAGACCCCGTAGAAAGAGTGAAGGATGTCAGGGAACTCCCCTGGGTGCTTGCTGACTGAACCCGCCGTACTGTTGTGGAGACAGAAGGCTAAGAGAGAAGGAGAGGGGAGAGTGGATCAAAAACAGAACTCGCAGACCTCGCAGAAAGAATGGAGGATATCTGGGAAACCCCCCTGGGTGCTTCTTCAGCATATACGGTTCACCGTTGTTGGGATCTGTTTGTGCTTTTCGTTTGTGTGCATCTCTTTCTGCTACAATGTTCCTCATGCCCGCTGCAGGCACAGAAACCACTACAGCCAGGACAGACAGACCAGCCCCAGAAGCCACAACATCCACAGCAGCCACAGCTGACACTCCACTCACAGCTGACACAGCACCAACAGCCGACACAGCACTTAAAGCTGACACAGCAACCACAGCTGACACAACACTCATAGCTGACACAACACCCACAGCTGACACAGCACCAACAGTTGACACTCCACTCACAGCTGACACAGCACCCACAGCTGACACTCCACTCACAGTTGACACATCACCCACAGCTGACACAGCACTCACAGCTGACACAACATCCATAGCTGTGAGTGCTGGGTCAGTTGTGAGTGTTGTGTCAATTGTGGTTGCTGTATCAGCTGTGGGTGCTGTGTCAGCTGTGAGTGTTGTGTCAGCTGTGAGTGGAGTGTCAGTTGTGGATGCTGTATCAGCTATGAGTAAAGTGTCAGCTGTGGGTGCTGTGTCAGCTATGAGTGCTGTGTCAACTGTGGTTGCTGTGTCAGCTGTAAGTGCTGTGTCGGCTGTGGGTGCTGTGTCAACTGTGAGTGGAGTGTCAGCTGTGGCTGCTGTGGATGTTGTGGCTTCTGGGGCTGGTCTGTCTGTCCTGGCTGTAGTGGTTTCTGTGCCTGTAGCGGGCATGAGGAACATTGCAGCAGAAAGAGATGCACACAAACGAAAAACACAAACAGATCCCAACAATGGTGAACCGTACATGCTGAGACGCCACTTCTTAAACTCATCCCAACCCACACCTCGTCACTTCCAGTTGGGGTGGTGGTGGAAGAGGGTGTAGGGTTCAGAAGCCGGTTTGAAGTTTGACCTCCCACCCTCTCCCCTCTCCCCGCCTCGCTTTCCTCCCCTCTCCCCACCTCGCTTTCCTCCCCTCTCCCTTCCCTTCTCCCCTCATCCTCGCCCTCCCTCTCATCCTCCCCCTTCTCCTCTTTTTACCTCATCTCCACCTCTTCCTCTTCCCTCTCCACCTCGTCATCTTCCCTGTCCACCTCTTCCTCTCCTCTCTTTTGCCTCTTCCTCTCTCTCCCTGAGCTACACGCGCACCTCTGAGCAGCAGCGACAGAGGCGGAGCACAGGAAGATTTGGCAGCAACAACAGCATGAGTAGGAGGAGAAGCAGCAGTTCGGGTTGGTGTTGGCTGCTGAACCCGCAGATCCCTTAGAAAAAGTGCAGGATGTCAAGGAATTCCCCTGGTTGCTTGCTCATCCCCATGTGGTGGAAGGTGAGAAGGAAGCTTTGATGATACAAGTGCTGCTCATCCCCATGTTGTTGCTCATCATGTGCTGCTCATCCCCATGTGCTGCTCATCCCTATGTGCTGATCACCCCCGGCTGCTGACAGCTGAAAAGCTTGACACAAGTGCTGCTGAGTCACTCACGGTGTTCTGGCAGGTAAAAAGGAAGTTTCGGAGGGCTGGGAAGTCAATGAGGTGGTCTGCTCCCAGCATCCTCAGTGTGCCGCTTACCCTGGGAGAGAGAGAGTGAAGAGGGAAGAGAGACGGGATGGGAGTGGGTGATGAATGGCAGTATGAACACAGAGTGACAGGTGTGCCTCGAGCATGGTCAATGAGGTGACCTGCTCCCAGCATGCTCAGTGTGCCGCCCACCCTGGGGAAGAAAGAAGGGATGGCGGTTGATATGAATCAAGAGGGGACAGCAGGTGAAACAAACTGTGAGTGTGTTGCCTACCCTGAGACCAGAGGATTGCAAATGATTGAAGCAAAGAGTTCGACAGTCTATCATCTATCGTACGAAATGAGCCGCGCCATTGGTGAGAAACCGGACGAGATGGTTACATAATGAACGAATGAAACGGAGATGGGGCACCAGAAGAGAGCGGGGCACATGAACAGAAACGAGCATAGGATAGGAATAGAGCCCACCAGAAGGCATAGCACGTGTCGGCTGGCTTGTTGCGCCGGCCCTGAAACCCCCCCTCCGGTCCTTGCCTCTGCTTCCATGCAGGGAACAGATGGGATGGGACGCGGTGGAAAGGAGTGGGGTGGGATGGGATGAGTGGGATGGAGGATGGGGGATGGGTGAGGACGAGAACAGATGCAGTTGGTTATGAGGTGGTGTTGCCTTTTGCCATGAGGTACAGAGAGTTGCAGCGAGGTACAGCGGGGTGCAGCGGGGTGCAGCAAAAGTCAAGATTCTGCGCGTGTAACCAGCAGCACCCACCAGCCCACCCCAACAAAAGAGCGCAACGATGGGATACAAGAGCAGACCTGAAGGCACCAATCCATCAGCGGAAGAACGTCAGCAGAGAGTACATGGGAGATGCGTGTCTGCTCTTCTGCTGCGGGCACGTCTGCTGCTGCTGCTGCTGCTGCTGCTGCTGCTGCTGACTCCTCTCGTGCACCTGCTGTTACGGCTGACTCATTGCGTGAGCGTGCTGCTGGTGCTGATAGCAATTGCAGCAGTGGCGACAGCGGCAGCGGCAGCTGTGATAGCGATGATGCTGATGCTGCTGAAGCTGCTCCTGATGCTCCTAATGACGAAACTGCTGATGCTGATGGTGGTAATGGTGATGACACTGCTTCTGTTGCTCCTGCTGATGAAGCTGCTGCTGCTGCTGCTGCTGATGACAGCAATAGTGATGATGTGGAAGATGCAATGAGCTGCAGCGCTGCCACGGCACAGTAGGTCGCTCCTCCTGCACACGAAAGGAAAAGATATTGCAGTCACAAAGAAATGAATTTGAGTCCAGGAACAGCAGGTTGCCCCCCCTCCCCAACAACAACAAAAAAAAAAAACCCCGGGAAATATGGAACTATTTTTTTGCGACTAAGAACCCACCATGTGCTTCGCAGCCCGGGCCGAGGCCAAACCCGCCATCAAATGACTGGTGCAGGGAGTTAGGAAGAGGAAGTGGAAAATGCCAAGCCAGGCAGGGGAATGGAAGGAATGGTGACTCAAGAACAAACCTGAAACCCATCTTCGAACTGTCCCAAAAAAACATGAACTGCTTCACTGCTCAAGGAGATTTTGAGAATTCTTTAAAACACCATGATCAGAACAACTGCTGCACAGCTCAAGCCCACAGAAGGAACATTGCCCGCCAGCCCCCCATGCCCACTCCCCCATCCCCCCAACCCACTTCCCCATACCCACTCCGTCATGCCCACTCCCCATCCCCCAAGCCCACTTCCCCATACACACTCCGCCATGCCCACTCCCCGCGTCCCCCAACCACCCTCCCCCATGCCCACTCCCCCCCATTCCCACTCCTATACCTACCTGTGCGTACCTGTGTGTACCTGTGTGTACCTGTGTGTACCTGTGTGTACCTGTGTGTACCTGTGCGTACCTGTGTGTACCTGTGTGTACCTGTGCGTACCTGTGTGCACCTGTGCATACCTGTGCGTACCTGTGTGTACCTGTGCGTACCTGTGCGTACCTGTGCGTACCTGTGCGTACCTGTGCGTACCTGTGCGTACCTGTGCGTACCTGTGCATACCTGTGCGTACCTGTGCGTACCTGTGCGTACCTGTGCGTACCTGTGCGTACCTGTGCGTACCTGTGCATACCTGTGCGTACCTGTGCGTACCTGTGCGTACCTGTGCGTACCTGTGCCTACCTGTGTGTACCTGTGTGTACCTGTGCGTATCTGTGCGTAACTCTGCGTACCTGAGCGTACCTCTGCGTACCTGTGCGTACCTCTGCGTACCTGTGCGTACCTCTGCATACCTGTGCGTACCTGTGCGTACCTGTGCGTACCTGTGCGTACCTGTGCGTACCTACCTGTGCATACCTGTGCGTACCTGTGCGTACCTGTGTGTACCTGTGTGTACCTGTGCGTACCTGTGCGTACCTGTGCGTACCTGTGCGTACCTGTGCGTACCTGTGTGTACCTGGGTGTACCTGTGCGTATCTGTGCGCACCTCTGCGTACCTGTGCGTACCTCTGCGTACCTGTGCGTACCTGTGCGTACCTGTGCGTACCTGTGCGTACCTGTGCGTACCTCTGCGTACCTGTGCGTACCTCTGCGTACCTGTGCGTACCTCTGCGTACCTGTGCGTACCTCTGCGTACCTGTGCGTACCTCTGCGTACCTCTGCGTACCTCTGCGTACCTGTGCGTACCTGTGCGTACCTGTGACCTCTGAATGTAGTCAATGGCACGGGGGACGCTCACTCCCCGCCAATCTCCTATCATGCTCGAAATGGCCGCTGCCAGGTGGGTGGTGTAATTCAGGTCGTACGGTACGGGAGAAAATGGGTTGTGAAAATGGGTCGTGAAAATGGGTCGTGAAAATGGGTCGTGAAAATGGGTCGTGAAAATGGGTCGTGAAAATGGGTCGTGAAAATGGGTCGTGAAAATGGGTCGTGAAAATGGGTCGAAAATGTAGTTCTGTGTTGTGAATTCAGTTTCGGGCGCTTGTCACACAAAGTATTCTATAATATGCATGGGAGCTGCTGCAAGGCACGGCACACTTGCGTAGAGCTTTTAATATTGATCATTCATTTGTCCTCCCCATGTCAATAGACTACACTCATGCTCGTAATATGAGTGCTAATGCTCATGCTCATGAGTGCTTCGGTGGCCTTACGTGATACGTCCACACCTTCGCCGCCCCTCACCACCCCCCAGCACCCCTAACCACCCCTCACCAGCGCAGAAGACGAAGCGCATATCGGACTCGCTCCCGCAAGCAACAGGCATGAAACTGGGGACACAAAAGAGCAGCGAGGGAGGTCGAATGTGGAGTGGGAGGAAAGGGGCATCGAGGAATGTGAGAAGCTGGAGTGGCACAGCGGAGTGGCAAAGCGGAGTGGCAAAGCGGAGTGGCAAAGCGGAATGGCAAAGCGGAGTGGCAAAGCGGAATGGCAAAGCGGAGTGGCAAAGCGGAATGGCAAAGCGGAGTGGCAAAGCAGAGTGGCAAACCGGAATGGAAAAATGGTGAAGGGGCGGGGCATGGGCGCGAGAGGCTTGCATGGGGAGCCAGGAGAAAGAAAGGAAGCTTGAGAAGAAAACTGGAAACACACTCCCTTCACCCTAATCCTGTCGTGGTCACATCGGTGCAGCATTAAAAGAGTTCAACTCACCTCCCTTGCAATTCACCCCACCCCAGACCACCCCACCCCACCCCACCCCACCCCACCCCAGCCCAGCCCAGCCCACCCCAGCCCAGCAAAGCCCAGCCCAGCCCAGCCCAGCCCAGCCCAGCCCAGTCCAGCCTAGTCGGGTCCGGCCTGGCCCAACGGTTTATCTCACCTCCCGTCTTGCAGCTGCAGCTCTAGCAGCGACTTTGCCATGCCTCGCACCTCCCCTGCCATGCCCCCTCGCTCCCCTGCTGTCCCACACACTGCTGCATCCACCCCATCCCCACACCTCGCACCCGGCCCCTCGCTGCCCCTCTCTTTCGCCTCCTCGCCTGCACACCCTGCCCTTTCCCCCTCACAGCACCCTACCACTGAATTTTCCTTGCAGCTGACACTGCAATCAGCAGTGCAACTGGCGTTGGAGCCACCACTGGAACCGGCATTGCAAACGTCACCGACAGGAAGACTGGGAACAGGCTCATCATTTAGGGTGGCGAGGATGGCGAGGGCAGTGTAGGTCATCGCGATGTGGCTGCAGTCGTAGGGCGACTGCTTGGGCGCCTGTGAGACGAGGGGGGTGATATGAGGGGTTCCAAAGGGTACAGAGGGGTGCTAGGGTGCAATTGGGTGCAAAATGGTTCGACAGTCTTTATAAACTGCGAATAATAACAGGCTCATCATTCAGGGTGGCGAGGATGGCGAGGGCAGTGTAGGTCATTGCGATGTGGCTGCAGTCGTTGGGGGGCTGCTTGGGCGCCTGTGAGATGACAAGGGTGCAAAGGGGTACAAATCGGTGCAATGGGGTGCAACATTCTTGATTCACTGTACCACCTCTGTGACTCTGTCTGCACCCGAACACAAACGAAACTCAACTATCACAACGTCTCCTCTGCACCCTGCTGTAAGTTGTAAACAAAACTCAATTCTCAACCCACTACTCACCCCTCGAGTGCTGTACTCCACACCAATGGAAGGTGAACCTCGAAACCCTAGCACGTCTGCACCAAGGCCCAAAGGACCATAGCTGCTGCTGGCACACAATGCTGAGGTTTCTCGTTCCCGTGTTGCTTCACACAAAGCAACAGCATTGTGTGCCATGCTGGCGCCGCCGCTGCCGCTGTCTCCTGAAGCCACGTCAGCACCAGCTTGCACGGATAACGTTGAGATGGAAGCAGTGGCTTCGGCGATTGGAGGGGGAGTGGCGGTAGAACGAGTTACAGGGATACCACCAATCTTCTTCGCCTGGAGCTGTTCAGGGTCCAGGACCTTCAGGGAATGCACCCAGTTGAGAATCTTCTGCCGATCCACCTGAGACAATCAAGCATGAAAACCGAGGAGTTTTGTGTAAGAGAGTTTGTAGCAGGGTTACAACGCTTATACCGCGTACACACCTGGTCAAGAGCTTGCAGGAGATCCAAAGCGACGATGCAGAAGTAAGCCAACGTGAGCCGGTTGGTGTCAAGTCAATTCACGATGCAAATGCTCATAATGCTAACGCTTATAGCGCGTACTCGCCTGGTCAAGAGCTTGCAGGAGATCCAGAGCGACGATGCAAAAGTAAGCCAGCGTGAGCCGGTTGCTCTCCTGCGACTCGTACGCGGCGGGAAGACCGTTGAGGCAGTTAACGAAGTAAAACACGTGGCGATCACGCTCGAAGCGCGGAGCGGCTTCAGACGCATCTTCTGCTGCTGACGACATAACGCCGATGTCCTGAATCCCCCTGATCAGTAAAACGTGAATCGGGAATGTGTTTTGTACTGTCCCGATGTCAATTTCGCAACACGTATCGCGACCTTATGTATGTCGCGGTTCGTGAGGTCTTGGCAAACCAATTGGAGCGAACTGATGGTATGAAGATTTGGGTGGGACAGACTGATAGTAGTCCTAGTGGATGGCTTCTTAATAAGCGCATCAGTCAGCAGCAGGTCGGATTTTGAACGATTACCGCACTGAAACAGTGTCACTGGCTACGTACCGTGCCAAACCGTGATTCACCATTCGTATACTACGGAATTGCCACCCCCCCAGGTAAACAAGTACAGTAAAGAACACCAATAACAAATAACATTGAGCACAGATTGCTAACCCACCCACAAAGTCGAGTACCCGCAACATTCTTAAATGCTTACCTAAAACCTTTTACTCCCTCTTTTACCTCCTTTATCATCCGACCAAAACTTAGTTCCACCTTCAGCCTCAACCACCCACGCTTCCACTCCAGACACCCCTTCCCCAGATGATGCCTTTTGTGAACCTTGGCCACCCTTCTTCCACAGCCGTACTTTTTCAGGGGCAGGCAAAGATTTCTGAATGCCTCTTGTGCTGCCCCGGGTAGATGAAACACCAGTGTACACTGAAGCTGCTGAAACATGCCCTCTTTTAGATGATGCCAATAAAGAGGATGAAGGATGAGATGAATCTGAAGAAGAGCTGCTACCCTGCTCTGCCAGGTGTCGCCACCTGATTCGTGGGGCGGTCAGGTGGGTTCTGTGCAAGTCAACCTGAACTTCAGAGTGCAGGAGAGCTTCAGATTGCTGCAGCCAGATAACACCTCCCCCTGCTCTCACCTGCCCGTCCATACTCGGGCATGATGCTGAGATCGGCCCAACCAATGAGATTTCTCCACGTGGCACATTCCACTCAAACCCTCCTGAACACTCCACTCCTGTCCACGCGCTCTCGTTCCCTCTCCCACTCTTCCCCGCATCCCTCCGCTTCAAACCTCCACCACTACCTGCCAACCCATGCCGCCCATGCCCTACCGCCCCCTGCTGCTGCCGCTGACTACTTTCAGCATCCTTGATCAGCCTCGAAATGCCTCTTAACGAGCCAGATACTAACGAGGACGGCAGGCTGACCCAGCCTTTGACAGGGCCCTGTGCGACCACATGAGCATCAGCGGATAACCACCAGGGTACTTCTGCCATTGACTTGTGCTCCTGATGCTCCTCAACCTGCTCCTGCTCCTGCTCCTGATCCTGCTGCTGCATTGACATTTGCTGCTGGGATATCAGCCGAGGATGCTGCTGCTGCTGCAATACCTCCTCTTCATGCGGTGCTCTGGCTCTCCTCGCATCACTAGCCACACTGATAGTTGCTTCATATGTTCCCCCTTTCTCATCGGCCAAGTTCTCTTCTGCTGCTGCTGCAGGAGTTGCACCTTCCCCTGCAGCTCCTGCTGCTGGGCTGGGTTCTCCTTGAGAGGAGACAGACTGAGCGAGAGATGCTCGAGTGATGGAGACACGAGGCAGACTCACGTGGAAGGTTCCAGGAAGGCTGCAGCTCACAGAATCTGTGAGCAACAGGCGGGATGCAGGGGCATTCCAGCTCTGTGTGTGCGTGAAAGGGAACGGGGAAGGGGGAAAGCAGAGGAAAAAGGGAGGAAGAGGGAGGCGGGTGGGGTTGGGGTGGACAACTTTCTATGTGGCAAAAGACAGAATCTGTGAGCAGCAGGCGAGATTGAGGGGCATCCCAACTCTGCGTGTGTGTGAAAGGGAACGGGGAAGGGGAAACGGGGAAGAGCGGGGGGGAAAGAGGGGGGGGGGGGGGGGGGGGGGGAGGGGAGGACGAGGGAGAGGGGTGGGGTTGGGGTGGACAAAAAGGAACGAGTGAGGATAGTGTTGGGGTGGACAAAAAGGAACGAGGGAGGATAGTGTTGGGGTGGACAAAAAGGAACGAGGGAGGATAGTGTTGGGGTGGACAAAAAGGAACGAGGGAGGATAGTGTTGGGGTGGACAAAAAGGAACGAGGGAGGATAGTGTTGGGGTGGACAAAAAGGAACGAGGGAGGATAGTGTTGGGGTGGACAAAAAGGAACGAGGGAGGATAGTGTTGGGGTGGACAAAAAGGAACGAGGGAGGATAGTGTTGGGGTGGACAAAAAGGAACGAGGGAGGATAGTGTTGGGGTGGACAAAAAGGAACGAGGGAGGATAGTGTTGGGGTGGACAAAAAGGAACGAGGGAGGATAGTGTAAGGTTTAAAAGACAGCAGGGTCCTCGTATGGTACAGGAATATTGAGAAGCATTTGATTCCGTGTAAGGTTTAAAAGACAGCAGGTGGAAGTGCAGGAGGGGTTGGGAAGGATACTCACAAGATGGCCTGACGTGAATTGCGCTCCTGACTGTGAATCTGTTACAAGCACATTTCCTGCATTCACAACTACAATAATGATAAGACACAGCTTGTTTTCTATTAATTTCAATGAGAATGCTGCTTGCTTTTCATATTGTTAATTTGACCAGCGACCTTCACTTCACCAGTGACGTTGATTGTGGAATCCAATGCTTGTGCTGAGTCACCTCTAAACGCGTACAGAGGCCTGCCATCCTGAAACAGATGCCCTTCGACCTGATGGTGGCGACACAGAGGAGGAGACGAGCGGAGAGGAAAGGAGAGGAGAGTTGACTTTGGAGTCGACTCAAAAGTCAACTTCGTCCTGAAGTCAACAGCTGCCCTTCTACCTGATGGTGACGAGACAGAGGAGGAGACGAGCGGAGAGGAGAGGAGGGAAAGGAATGCGAGGAGAGGAGAGAGGGAAGGGAACGTGAGGAGGGATGAGGGGATGAGAGGAGGGGAGAGCGAAAGGCCTTTGAGATAAGACACGAGAAGGGGAGACGGTAAAGCTGAGAGAGACAGTAACTGAAGGACGGCAGGGATGAAACGAAGCAGGATCCAAGAAGAAATTATTCAAATCAAACGAGGGCATTAATGTAGGTGAGGGCATTTATGGGTTATGTTGATTACCTTGGTCGCCATGACACCACCTTCCGCCATTCCTTGGGCTTCTCTCTCATCCTTCCTCTCCCCATCCAGGTTTTCCTTCCCCCTCTCCTCCCCCTCCCCTTCCCTGCGCCTCTCCGCTTCCCCAGCCACGCCGGAGCGCAGCGAATCGGCGCGCAGCGACCACGCCAGCTGGCAGCCGCTCATAGGATCTCCCGCGCTGACGAATCGCTGAAGAACTATGCCTCGCGCAGAGAGCGATGCGGAAGGCGCGCCGTCACCACCACTCCCGACATTCTCGCTGCCGCCATTTCCCGCGGTGGCCCTGCTAGCTTCAGTTTTGTTTGCTGGGAGCTGACCACTTTCGCGAACTGTGTTTTTTTTACGCCGGATCCGTTCGTATACATTTCGCGAATGCTCGCCAAGCGAGAAAATGCGTTGCGAAATGCCGTCGCGAAACGCCCGTAACGCATCGTCACGTCCCCGTACCCCGGATACGCTGGCCATGCGTACCGGAGTCGCATGGACGAAGCCGAGTGCGGAAGATCAGAGGTGGATGCGAAATGCGAAATGGAACTGTGGAGAAATGTGCTCTTTGGTTGGTCTACTGATCAGCCCCATTTCATTCCTCGATACTAGCTGGCTCCGTATTTTCCTCAACAAAGGTTGAACTCCGGAAGGTTATTTGAGACGAAACTTTTCACTAATGAAATGCTTCAGGCAACTAAGCAAGACAAATCAGATTCAGCCTCTAAATCTAATGGATCAATCTGTACCGCTCCACGCATTTCTACTGAATCCCTACAAAGCCGTACCTTCATCGTGCCACCCGTCTTCTTTCCATGCTTTCAGTAGGCCTTGGAATTGGCAGTGGATGAGCCTCTGTATTGAAGACGTATTTGTCAAATGGAAGAACGTCCTTCTCCCCAAAGAGGAGGTAGAAGTACTTGAGGGTTTCCCCGAGGAAGAACGTTTCCATCTTGTTACGCTTTGGAGGGGGCACCCGAGAGACATCGTCGAGTGAAGTGTATCCGCCTGATGCCACACGCGTATGTTGTTCAAATGCTTGGAACATCTTCCACCCCGCCTCGCGATACCTGCAGTTCATGTGACAAAAAACAACAGAAAGGCAATAAAATAACTTCAGAGCACATGCGGAGTGGCTGTCACGCGGATCATATCAAAAGCCAAGATACTCCATAAGCGGTCCGACTCAAACTCAAATAACCCTATTTCCAGTGACTTGGTGCATGTACAAAAGCCTCCATTGCCTCGAGTCTCTCTCTCTCACACAAGCACCATGGATACCCAGACACACCTTAAATTCCCACTGACCCATTGCATGTAAAACAGGGCCTCCTCAATCTGGGGCATCAGCAGGCTTCCAGTAACCAGGTTACATACCATGGGTTCCCAGTAACCCAGTGCATATAAACCAGTGCTTCCACCATCTCTGGCCACTGCAGGTGAGGAGCACTGTTCTGTTCGCCCTGCACCCTGATAAACCATAAACTCCCAGTAACCAGGTTACATACCGTGTGTTCCCAGTAACCCGGTGCATATAAAGCAGCGCCTCCACCGTTTCGGGTCGCAGCAGGTTGTGCCGGTCCGCCTGGTGGATCTGAATGTCCCTCCCATACTCGGCGTCGTGCCTTGTCCCCATGTACTCCTGAGAATCGTCCTGCGGGTTTCGAAGGAGCAATAAGGGAAGAAACAGGACTCAACAAGTTGTGCCGGTCTGCCAGGTGGATCTGAATGTCCCTCCCATACTTGGCGTCGTACCTTGTCCCCATGTACTCCTGAGAATCGTCCTGGAGATGGCACATAGGCAAAAGAAAAGAAAAGAATCAACAGAAGCCAACAGGAATGAAATAAAGTCACAAGTAAAATGAGGCGGTTTTTTAAGTGGCTTGAAATCGGCTCGTATTTTGAGGAGCCTCAGAAATGTGTCCGCCTGGTGAATCTGAATGTCCCTCCCATACTCGGAGTCGTGCCTTGTCCCCATGTACTCCTGAGAATCCTCCTGATGATTCGGCACGTAGGCAAAAAAAAAAAGGAATCAACAGAAGCCAACAAGTAAAATGAGGAGATTTTTGAGGTGGCGAAAAATCGGCCCGTATTTTGAGGCGCCTCAGAAACGTGTCTGCCTGGTGGATCTGAATGACCCTCCCTCCCATACTCTGCGTCACGCCTTGTCCGCATGCACTCCTGATAATCTTCCTTGAATTTTATCAAGCAAAAAAGGGGGAGAAAACAAGACTCAACTGGAGAGAAATCAATAAAAAAACAAAGCTGACAGAAGAATGGGAGCTGCAGACAGCAGTGATGTGCTGCACATCCCTGGTACCAAGGCAATGCCTGTCATTTCAGTCCTGGTCCTTTCACCTGCACATTGAAGTAGGCTATTTCAGGCGCCAGGCCAGCGGCTGTCACTTCATACATCTGAGATGAAAGTCCTTGTCAAGTTCCTTGCCAGCTGCAGCAGCCCTTATTGTAAGGAAGTGAGATCAGAACACAGGCAGCTAGCAACAGGGGAACCCACTCACGCGCATGTTGAAGTAGGCTATCTCAGGCGCCAGCCCAGTGGCAGTCACTTGATACATCTGAATGCACGCCTCTGTCAGCAGCAGAGCCCACTCACCACAGGCACCAGAAAGAGCAGGGCTGGTACCAAGGAAACCCACTCACGCGCATGTTGAAGTAGGCTATCTCAGGCGCCAGCCCAGTGGCTGTGACTTCATACATCTGCATGCACGCCTCCGTCACGTTCCTTGCCAAGTCCAGCAGCTCTTAACATGCGAATGAATGAGCTCAGAACACAGCCAGCTAGCAACAAGAAATAGCCACTCACGCGCATGTTGAAGTAGGCTATCTCAGGCGCCAGCCCAGTGGCTGTCACTTGATACATCTGAATGCACGCCTCCGTCACGTTCCTTGCCAAGTCCAGCAGCTCCCTCCCCTGCTGTGTCAGCACGCCCTTTGCTGCTGCCTCTGCCTCTGTCAGCCCCTCAGTCGCTCTCAGGGCTAGAGATCCTGGCAGGAAGCACACCTGTAAGGGAGGAAATAGGAGACAAAAACAAGAAAGTTTCGAGTTGTCTCAGCAGCTCCAGAAGCTCTCTCCCCTGCGGCGTCAACTTTTGAGTCGACTCAAAAGTCAACAGCTACAGAAGCTCTCTCCCCTGCGGCGTCAACACGCCCCTTGCTGCTGCCTCTGCCTCTGTCAACCCTTCCTTGCTCTTAGAGCTAAGGACCTCGGCAGAAAGCAGACCTGTATAGGAGGAAAGGAGGAAAAGTTTTTAGTATATGAGTATCCAGCAGGTTGAGGCCGCGGCGCAAAACAGAGGTTTTTTAGTTGACTCAAAATCGGCAGGAAGCAGACCTGTAGAGGAGGAAAGGAGGAAAAGTTATTAGTAAATGAGTATCCAGCAGGTTGAGGCCGAGGCGCAAAACAAAGAATCCAACGGCCATAATTCATCCATCCAAGCAGAGAGAATCCAAAGGCATGGAGGGGTCTCACGAGGTGGCCCATCTTGGGGTGCATCTCCCAGTGTTCCCCTTGGATTGACCCCTTCACCGTTGAAATTTAACAGCCATAATTCATCCATCCAAGCAGAGGGAATCTAACGGTTGGGAGGGATCTCACCAGGTGGTCCATCTTGGGGTGCATCTCCCCTGTCAGCCCTGACGGCCGCTCAGCAATGAAGGTGAGGCCCTTGGGGTGGCTGCGCGCCACCAGCCACTTGCGCATGCCCGCCACCGCCTCGTCAAACATCTCCGCCAGATACTCCACATGCGCGCCCCTCTTCCCTCCTGCTGCTCCTGCTCCATCTCCTCCTCCCGCTCCTACTCCTTCTCTTGCTCCTACTCCTTCCCTGCTCTTGTCACCACCGCCAGCACCAGCACCAGCACCAGCACCAGCACCAGCACCAGCACCAGCACCGGCTGCATCGGTGCCGTTTGATCGCCCATCACCGCTTGCTGGAAAGCTTGTGGTTACCACTTGCAGCAGCGCGGGGGTTTGGTCCCGCTGCTGCAGGTACGCCTTGATGAGATACTCGTAGTAGCTGTCTCCCCTTGAGCCCAGACGGATGTTTTCACCTGAGAACCTACCAGAGTCGGGGCTGAGCGGGAGGGAGGGAAGGAGGGAAGGAGGGGAGAGTAGGAGGGAGAAAGGGAGGGAGGAAGGGCACAAGAAGATTCGGATATGACACACGTGGGTTACCACTTGCAGCAGCGAGTCAGGGTGGTCCCGCTGCTGCAGGTACGCCTTGATGAGATACTCGTAGTAGCTGTCTCCCCTTGACCCCAGGCGAATGTTCTCACCTGAGAACCTACCAGAGTCGGGACTGGGAGGGGACGGAGGGCAAAGGGAGGGAGAAACGGAAGCAAGCACACGCCTTGATGAGATACTCGTAGTAGCTGTCTCCCCTTGACCCCAGGCGGATGTTCTCACCTGAGAACCTACCAGAGTCGGGACTGGGAGGGGATGGAGGGCACAGGAAGTTACGGATGATAAGTTACTCGATGAGGCACAATCGAGCCCCACTTAGAGGCCATGGGTCGACTTTTGAGTCGACTCAAAAGTCACTAAGTTGTGGATGGTAAGTTACTCGATGAGGCACTCGTAGCAGCTGTCTCCCTTGGACCCCAGGCGGATGTGCTCACCTGAAAACTGCCCAGAGTCAAGACTACCAAGGTCGGGAGGGAGAGAAGGTGGGAGGAAGGGAGGGAGGGAGGGAGGTCGGGAGGGAGGGAGGGAGGGAGGGAGGGAGGGAGGGAGGGAGGGAGGGAGGGAGGGAGGGAGGGAGGGAGGGAGGGAGGGAGGGAGGGAGGGAGGAAGAGGAGGGAGGGAGGGAGGGAGGGCAGGGAAGAAAGCACACGCCTTGATGAGGTACTCGTAGCAGCTGTCTCCCCTGGACCCCAGGCGGATGTGCTCACCTGAGAACCGCCCAGAGTCCGGACTGGGAGGGAGGAAGGGAGGGAGGGAGGGATACACAAGATACGAATACACACAAGTGCCTACCACATGTAGATCGCTTCTTGAGTCGACTCAAAAATCGACTCATCACACGAGGAAGGGAGGGAGGGATACACAAGATACGATGTTTAAGGGCGGATTCGATCGCAGCAAGCCAACTGAGGTCACTCATGTCTAGATCTAAATGGATCTAACCAGATTTAAATGGATCTAACCAGATTTAAATGGATCTAACCAGATTTAAATGGATCTAACCAGATCTAATGGATGGATCTAACCAGATCTAAATGGATCTAACCAGATCTAAATGGATCTAACCAGATCTAAATGGATCTTACCAGATCTAAATGGATCTAACCAGATCTAAATGGATCTAACCAGATCTAAATGGATCTAACCAGATCTAAATGGATCTAACCAGATCTAAATGGATCTAACCAGATCTAAATGGATCTAACCAGATCTAAATGGATCTAACCAGATCTAAATGGATCTAACCAGATCTAAATGGACCCAACCAGATTTAAATGGATCTAACCAGATTCAACTAGGAGAGAAGAAAGCGAGTAGAAGAAAGACTTAGTAAGTCAATCAGTAAGACAAAACATCGCCCGGCACAAGCCCGCCGGATCGATGCAGCCCCCGCACGTGCTCCACCACCTGCGTCACTGCTGCACCACACCTGCTCGCCCATGCTTCATGCTTCCCCATATCACTCACTCCATGTAGATGGGCACGAGTCCGTCAAGTCAAGTCGTCGCAGCCCCCGCACGTGCTCCATCACCTGCATCGCTGCTGCATGGCTCCCTCCCTTCCTCTCCCCCACCCCACCCCACCCCACCCCACCCCACCCCTTACAACTCCTCAATCTACCCCGTTTTACTCACTCCATGTATATCGGCACCAATCCATCCAGTCGATGCAGCCCCCGCACGTGCTCCATCACCTGCATCGCTGCTGCTCCGTACTTCCTCTCCCCCGTCAGTCTACTCAGCTCCCAGAACTCCAACTGGACCGTCGTGCACTCCGCTGTGCTGCTCAGCCCGCCACCATTGGCCCGCTGTGCGTAGCTGGTGGGAGCATGCGGGGGGAAACAGGTACACAAGGACAGATGCCACTCAGAAAGGGAGAGTGCCTCTCCTCTCCCCCGTGAGTCTACTCAATTCCCAGAACTCCAGCTGGACCGTCGTGCACTCCGCTGTGCTGCTCAGCCCGCCGCCGTTGGCTCGCTGGGCGTATCTGTTGCATGGGTGGGCAGAGCAGAGGGCAGAAGCACACAGGGACAGAAGCAACTCAGCAACCGAGAGTGCCTACTCTACTTCCTCTCCCCCGTGAGTCGGCTCAGCTCCCACAACCCCAGCTGCACCGTCGTGCACTCTGCCGGGTGTTTTTGAGAATTCTCATAAGGGTGTTATTGAGAATTCTCATAAGGGTGTTTTTGAAAGTTCTCAAAACACCCTCTAGCTGCACCGTCGTGCACTCTGCTGTGCTGCTCAGCCCGCCCCCCATGACCCGCTGGGCATAGCTGGTGGGAGGGTGTGAGGAAGAGGAGAAGCATACAAGGACAGAACCAAATGAGCTAGGGAAAGTGTTGCTTTTTCCCGTGGGTCGGCTAAGCTCCCACAACTCCAGCTGCACTGTCGTGCCCTCTGCTGTGCTGCTCAGTCCGCCCCCCATGGCCCGCTCGACATAGCTGGTCGGAGGAAAGGAGACGTGTTGGAAGGAGAAGCGAAGGAAGCGTGAGGAAGAGTCACAGCACGCACGCACACGCCGCTGCTGGGCCAGCCAGGTACACGTCTGACAGAGGTACGGGCGTGGGACTGCACCCCTCTTGGCTTGCTTACAAGGGATCACAGAAAGGTTCACAGCACGCACGCACCACCGCTGGGCCAGCCAGGTACACGTCTGACAGGGGCTCTTTGCTGCTGGCTTCTTCGCGTGAAGGGGGTCTCATAAAGGGTCACAGCACTCACCGTCCAGCCAGGTATACGTCTGAGAGGGGCACGGGCGTGGGACTCTGGGTGAGGGCGAGCATGAGACGATCCGCCAAGTCAACTGCCACTTCAAGGTACTTCTCAGCTGCCGGTCCCCCTACGTCCTCCTGCACCCCCCCTCCTCCTCCTGTATTTCCTCCTCCCCCTCCTCTTCCCACGCCTCCTCCCCCTCGCCAGCTCGGGTCCTTTTTCAGGTGGTATGCACTCAGCAAACCACCCAGAACCCGGATTGTCGTCTCGAAAAAATTCACCTGCCCGGCATGGTTGATTTTCTCAGGCAGAGTAGTAGCAACCCACTGGCCAGCCTCGTCTACTATGTCTTTAATCCCCATAATCATCGCAGTATCTAGACCGTCCACTATCGTAGCCCCGAGCCTGCCCAGCCCGTCCTCCCCGCCTCGGCTCAACGGCATGAGCTCGTCCGAACCAAACGCGTAGGTTCGGTAGCCCTTCCAAGCGTGCCGGAAGGCGGCAACCACCTGCTTCTGCCGTTCCTTCCACACAGCTTCGGCTTCGGAACTGTGGGACTCAAAATCCCGTGAAATGCCCCCTGCAGCAGCACTCCTGTTCCCCACACCAATTCCTAACCCTTCTCCGCCTTCTCTCCCTTCCGCCCCTCCCCTTCCTTCTCTCTCAAGCCCCCCTCCTGCCCATCCGTCCGCTGGCCAACCCCCCTTCCTTCCTCCAAGAACCCCTCCCCTTCTCCCCAGCTCCCCCCTCTCCCTTTGCCTCCTCCTCGCTCTGCCCATCCACATTCTCGCGCCTTCCCCTGCCAGCTCCCTCGCTCGCCCGTCCCTCAACATCCCCTTAGCCCACTCCTTCCTAAAATCTTTTCTGATCGTTCCTCGTGAAGACAGCAGGTTCAAGCTTGAATTCCCCATCATCACTCCCCTGCCTTCCCCGCTCCAACGTCCCTCCCCTCCTCCCTGCCCTTCCACGCCTGCTTCGTCCCGGACCAGCCCAAGAGGGTCGGTGAGCCTCGCCCCGGTGGCTCCCAAGCCTCGGCTGCCGTTCCTGAGCTTCAGGTCCGGGACCTCGTCTCTGGGTTGGTTCGCGAGCTCCTCTCTCTGCCTCTCCAATTCCTCATCCAATTCCTGCTTCCTTCTCTCTACCTCCAACTCTTCCTCCTTCGCCCTCACTGTTGCTTCGTCTAATTCTCGCCTCCCCCCCAACTTCTCCACCTCCTCTTCCTCCCCCGTCTCCTTCTCCTTATCCTTTCCCCCGCGTTTCCGAATCTGCTCCTCCTGCTTCCGTCTTTCTTCCTTCCGTCGACGTTTCTCCCTCAACTCTCGTGCCATGCTGTCGGCCCACGTCTCGTCCTCTGCTCCTCGGCCTTCCCCACTCATCCTCTCTCTGCCTTCGTCACTCGCTCGCTCCACACCTCCACTGTGTCTCTTCTCTCTCTCCACTCTCTCCCCTCTCGTCTCCCCCTCCTGTTGTCCCCCCTCCACTGCTTTCACGCCGGATGAATCAGCTGAGGAAGAAGAGGAAGAAACAGAAGAGGAGGAGGAGCGGGAGCGGCGGGAGGAGACGGAGACGGAGAGGAGCCAGAGGAGGAAGAGGAAGGCGAGGAGGCCGACGAATTGGCGCGCGGGGGATTGGCGGAAGTAGATCGCCACGCGCTGATGGGGGAAGGAGGCGGAAGCAGGGGGGAAAGTGGAGTTGGGGAGGGGAGAGAAAAGGCGGAGGATGAGGGGTGGGGGAGAGGCAAAGAGGAAGGGGGTTTGAGAGAGTGGGTGAACGGGAGGAAGAAATGTGAAAAGGAAGGAGTGAGTTGGTCGTGAGACTAGATTCGTAAGTCTCTTACGAGTCCGAATACAGGAAACGGTTCACAAGCAGTTGAGAAAAACAAGAGTCTGACGAACGGTACTGTGGGATCACCACGGGGAAACACGGGAAAGTAAGGAGGCACTAAAATCGAGGAGAAAAGAAGAACGGAGACCAAGGAAAAAAGTGAATTACCCTGAATAACGCTTCTCTGGTCTCCAAGCCTACCCTATAGGTTCCTACAACAGCCAGTCCAACTTAAACGATGCCAACCTTAACGCGTTTCACAATAGCGAGTATGACCTAACCATACCTTAACGAGTCCTCCCCGTCGCCGGGATTTTGCGTTGTCGTAAGAATCGATGGACTCGCCCAAGGACGTCGCCATTGCATCGATCAAGGAAGGGCGAACCTTAATCAAGGAGCATGGAATCTTCACACCAGTTACGGTAAAACGCCAATCTACATAACAGGATGCCGGGGCCTTCTCTTAAGTGAGACGCATCAGCAACAACCTGAGTCTTTTCTCTAGTGAACTCTTTTTTAGTGACGCCTCAAACACAGACGACTCTTAAAACATTAATCTACAAGATGGTAGGCCAGCGCGGCGGATGCGGCCTGGAGAGGCTGAGAAAGCCCCCGAGGCCGACTCGGGCCTGTGAGGTGTATGATAAGTGAAAATTTAAAAGGAATACTGGCCTAATGGCTTGAGATGGCTGTCACATCAGGGCGACAAGGAGAGTGTTGGAACAACTTGGGTGGTGGGTGAATGATGACCAGATTCAGAAGCAGAACGCAGCACACCGCAAGCGGTTTTTGCAGATTTTGTACGATCCACGACGTTTCGGTGGTATGAACAACGGTTTTGCAGGGTTTTGTGCGAGGGCTTCCATGACACGATTTGGTGCTTTCATTGGTGGAGTTCCCGAAGGCCGTGCTCTGACCGCAGCTGACAGCTAAACGCGCTTGGTTGGATTCCCGCCTTCAACGTCTATTTTGTCCGCGTTAGCAAATTACCGCAATACCATTATTTAGCATTCCACTCATGCAAACATTTACCTCCTCCAATATATGCTGGAAAAACATAGAAAAAAAACAAGCAGCTAATGGACCATAAAGAGATCTTCATTGCCTCCACTTAATCTTCACATTTTCTTTAGATCTGCCATCGCATATGTGCCCATCATGACACGATGTGAGCCCGAGACTCTCCCTCAGATATCCTATGTGGTGAGAGAATGTTGACCGATCAGTAATCATTGTAACCACAGCGTGCGCTGCCACTAGCTTATCCACCATGGCTCGCTGACCTGGCTGAAGATTCAGCTCCTTAGGCAATCTGACAACCACAATTGACCATGCTATTCCCCTCACCCTTGCAAGTGATGCCTGCGACTGTAACTGCTCTTTAAAAAACTCCACCTCCTCATCAGGAGCATCAGAGGAAACGAAAAGGTTGGTCAGGTTTAACTGCATCATTTTAAATGCAGTGCACTCCGCCGCCGCCTGTAACGGCCAGTAATGTAGATCCGTCATCCGGTGGCTATGCTCAAGAAAATCCGTCCGCCGAAGGTGAATAGCAGCATAATCCCTCCCAACGTACTCTTCTATGAACCCTGCAGCTTGGTCAAGCACTTGCTGGGGAGGCTGGAAGAGCAGCTCACACTTGCTGGAAGGCTGGAAGAATCGGCTTGGCCAAAAAAATTCCGAACCAGGATAATCAACCATGAAGAATGAGAAGAAGAGGTCACCCAGAGCAAGCACAGGAACGTCAGCAGTCGCAGCTGCTATCTTAGGAGCCAGGTCAAAGAGATTACCCTCCTCCTCCGGGACAGTCTCTTTCTGTAAGAGCTTGATTTCTGCCGTCTCGCCGCAGGTACCATCTATGAAGGTACAGCTGTACTGCACCTGACCGCAGAAGAATTTATCAACTACTAAGTCGCTCCCATTACCGCCTCTTAGAGTGTTGAACTCTAATCCTGTTATCACCTTGCGGAGAGGCAGCGAACCTGCTTCAAGACCTGGTTGCTCAGGTATAGACTCGTCTCCAAAGCACTGGGACAAGTGGCCAATGTCTAGGGTTTCAGAATACACCACCGGCCGGCCTTGAGAGCGAGGGACGCAGAGAGGAACCTCGGGAACCAGCAGCGTGCGATTGAGGAGAATCGCTGCCAGAATGGTCTTCTGAAAGCAAAGGAGGCGATTGGTGGTTGCACCGTTGGTGCATGAAAGCATAAGGTACCGGTTGGGTTGTGGGGTCCATTCCGGTGCTGCAGTAACAGGTTCGGTTGTGGATGATGAAGAAGGCGGGAGCTGGACGCCAATGGGAGCGGCGCACGTGTCACTTGAGAGCTGCTCATTTGGGGATGGATTTAGTGGCCTCGGACTGACAGACTGCTGCAACCGGATCACTGTGCTTGTATCGAGACCAGACGCATCCGCTTGAGAAATATCCGCTGACTGAGAATACTCGGAACGGACAGGAAGAGGCTGAGGGGATAAAACGGTCGAACAAGGGGAGGCTGAGAGGTACCCGAGACTGAACATAACGGCGGCGACGAGGAGGAGGTGGCTGTAGTAGGGAAGCGGGTGAAGCTGGGCGAGCAGGTTCGACCGTTGCTGCTCCTGCTGCTCCTGCTGCTGCTGCTGCTGCTTCTCCAGGTGATGCGGTACGTCATTATGGTGTAATGGAAGGGAGGGAGACAACGTCGTCATAGTGATGAATCACAAGCTTACCAGGAGCTACAAAGCTAAAGCTACAAGAAGCGGGTTCGCGTTCTTTGTGATTTCTGAAATCATAAGCCGTGATCCTCTCACCAGCCGCAAAGAACGATTGCTGAGGTTATCGCGGAAGTTCTCTAGGTTGTCTAGAGCTCCCAGAGGTGGTCTGGAGCTGTTTTCCCTGAGATTTGTCAAGCTATCGGATGCACCCGCCGCCGGATATTCGTTACAAAAGCGTTCAACGCCGGCCAGGACGGTAAAGAATCAGTAGTTTGGGCTGTCACACAGGTTGCTCCTGTCACACAGTAAACTGCTGAGAGGGCCTGCGTCCAAGAATCCTCGGAGACGATGTAATTC